AAGCGTAGAAATCTTATTTCGATATTAAATAACTTAATATAAGATATATAGTAGTTTTCTTTATAATAATATTATATAGCTAAATTTAATAGATTTATTAATAACGATAGTAAGGTTCGCTAATAGCGTTATATAACTTTAAACGTAGTTATAGTATAGAATAATTAGCTATACGCGCTTAAAGTACTTAATTTAAGATTATTATTAAATATTAATACTCTAAGTAATCGAATATTAGATGTTAAAAAACGAGGTCTTTAAAGTTAAATTCGAGTATTTATAGTAAGTCTCTAAACCTTTAAAGAGGCCTCGAAAAGCATTTATTCGCTATTCGTCTATTATATTCTTATAGAAGTCTTATATATCGTTAATCTTATTTATAGTTATATCGTCTAATTCTTAATTTAGCTATCTTCTTTTCTTCGGCGAGATCTTATTCTTAAGAGAATTATCGGGTAATTATTTATTATACTTATTAATAATCTTATTTATCTTACTTATCTTATTAAAAAGTAGATATAAAGCTAATTTAATATATAATCGATTAGGATTTTATTATATAGAGCTCTCTTATAATATACTAGCGTATTTATATAAGTCTTTTATAGAATACTTAATCGAGTAATAATTGTTTTAATAAATATTAAGTAATAAGTAAAAGGTTTTTTTAATATTCTTAAAAAATCGAGTATTAAAAGAAATATATTTAAAGAGATAGTTAAAGTTGAATATAGAATTATATCGCTTCTAAAATATAATTTTTATTTCGCTATTAAGATACTCGTCGAATAGATTAATCTCTTTTTATTTATCTAATTAACTAGTAATATTAATAAAAGAATTAAAAAGAATAATCTAAGCTAACTTACTATTAATAGTACTATCTTCGCTATTAGAATTAGTATAATATTTTTATTAAAGTATTAATTTCGCGTAATTATAGAAATTAAATTTATAGAAATATAGATATATTTAATTTAAAGTATAAGAAATTAAGTCGATATTATTCTACTTAATTTTATACTTTAAAATAAGATAGAGCTTTATACTTTATAAGAACTTTATATAATTTTAATAAGTAATATTCTCTTTATTCTCGAGTATTTTAATAAATAAATCGTTTCGTATAAAAATTACGATCTTATTTATCTTCTTAGTCGTATAAGTAGCGAGCTATTCCTCTATTATAGTATAACTCTATTTATTATTATAAAGTAAGATATATATCTAAAGTATTATAATTATATGGGCCTAAAACGAGTATATAAGAAACTTATTAAGTGCTTAAAAGTTATTCTTTTTAGATAACCCTATATTCTTATAATTTTAGAAATCTTACGTATATCGTAGATATAAGAGATTATTAAATATATATATATCCTTTAATTTTCGGCTACGTTTATTACTCGCTATTAATTTTAAGTTAAAGTTAATATTATTAGCCTTTTTTAGATTAGGTAATAAAGTATTTATCTAATATATCTTATAAATAATCGTAAGATAGATTATTTTAATATAAAATAAGATCGATATAGATATTAATTAAGTTATTCGATTATAATTAAAAATCTCTTACTTTATATAACGTCGTTTAATATTCTATAGATGAGAGAATATAAGCTAATTATCGTATATAAGACGTAGATTAATATCTTAATAAGAATTCTCTTATTTAAATCTAATTTATTTAAAATAGATATTTTTAAGTATCTTAATATTATCTTTTATAATACTCTTATTAATATTAATAGAATTAAGCGAGTAACTAACGATTTTTTATAGAGCTAGTCTATTAATATAAAATATAGAACTAATTAACGATAGTCGATCTTTATATAACTATTTCTATTATATAGGGAAAGCGTTATGAATAGCGATATTTATAAGATAATCGATATATTAACGCTATTAGTTTATAACTTTTTTATTACTATAAATCGTTAAAAAGACTAATCTACTTTCTAGCGAACTTCGTTCTTACGCAGTCTAGATATCTTTAATATATAAGATATATATAGAGGCTTAAAATAATTTATTATTAAGGCTTTAAGCCTATAAAAAGATATATCGCCTTCTTAAATTATATAATCGATGATTATTAACTTTAACTTTCTATTACTATTTATCCTCTATTCCTTAACTCTCTATATTTATTCTAGATTATTATACTAAATATAATAGTTATTAAAACGATTAATATACTTAATTACTTTATTATCTAAATCGCTACTTTTCTTAATATATTATAGAATTCTTTAATAGAAAATAATTAGTCTAAATCGATTATAAAGCTTAAGAATTAATTATTTAACTTTACGCGAATATATGAGAATATCTAATTAAATAGGAATCGAATTAGCTCTAGTCTTCTACTATTGAAAATATATAATGTTGAAAACCATTATAATGGAACTAAGTTGAGGCCGTAGGAATTTTTTATTCTTCTTTATATACTAGAACTGCATTATAATCGATAAAAATCGATTAATATATAGTGTTTCCTTTTTAATAGCCTTTAATAGCCCTTTTAATTTTATATTATAAAGCTTCTTTAAGTTAATATCCTTATTTTATCTCTTAAAAAGATCTAAATTATTAATAGCGAGAACCTCTTTTTATAATAACTTCGAAATTTACTCTATTCTTTCTAGCGAGGCCTTCTAACGACTTAATAAGATATATTTAATAGACTTATTAGTCGAATTATTCTTTAGTATAATATTAAGTAGAAGATTAACTTTAATATAAAGTTTTACGAGAAAATTACGCTATAGAAATCTACTTCGTAAGAGATTTTTTTAATAATAATTTTATATATCTTTTATTAAGTCGTAAAGACTTAGTTCTAACTCTTTTATTATACTTATTATATCCTAAACCTTTCTAGTCTTTATCTTTCTTATCTTTCTCTTCTTAGCTGTGCTAATTATCTTCGATAAAATACTATTTTTACTTCTCTCTTTAGAGTAAGGTGTAGATGTGAAGGGCTAAGAGATTATTAATGAATGTTTAATAATAGATAAAGTAGACTTTATAGCGATAATAGATAGATTAGATATTAATTAATAATATAGAAAATAATTGAAGGTGAGATTTACTTGATAAGATCTAAAGATTCTTACTAAGACCTCTTCTTAATAAGATCTCTTTCATATTTAAACTAATTATTCTTTATTAATTTATCTTCTTATCTTATTAATCTTCTAATTAGTTATAGTCTCCTTCCTCTTTTTATTTAATATTATTCGAATTAGAGTTATTATATATAATAGATTTACTATACTCTATCTTATTATATTATTCTTCTAAATAAGTCTTACGCGTAAAGATTTATTAATAAATTATTTAATAACGTATTTCTAATATAGTCTAGTTATCTAATACGTTATATATAGAGAATATAATTATAGAGCTTTATCGTTATCTTAATCTTTTTTATATAACTCTATATAAGAAGATTCTATTAAAAATTCTTAAAGTAAAAAAGAATATTACTTAACTTCTAATCTTCTTTAATAAGAAATATATTAACTACTAATAAATATAGAGCTTAATATCTTCTACTATTTTCTTGAAATTATAGCGTTAAGATAATTAAGCGATATTCGATTAGATTATTTATAACGACGACGTAGACCTTTCTATATTTAAAGACGTCTTTTTTTATATTTTATATACTTATAAAAGACTTTAACGTTATATAAGATATTCTTATTTATCGATATCGCTACTATTAATATCTAACTTTATATTAAAAGAATAAATTATCTCCGCTTCGCTCTCCGCTCTACTCTTCGTAAATTTAATCATTTATTTATTTATATATATCGCCGTGGCGATACTCTACTTGCTTGCTTGCTTACTTGCTTACTTGCTTACTTGCTTACTTTCTTACTTACTTACTTACTACTTACTTACTTACTTACTTACTTACTTATTTGCTTACGAGGTCGCCGCGGCGATAAGTCGTCGCGGCGATACTCTACTTACTTACTTACTTACTTGCTTACTTACTTGCTTGTTTATTTACACCTATCGCCGCGACGACTTATCGCCGTAATAACTCTTATAAGCCTAGCCGTTTAAAAAATAGAGAGAGACTATAAAAAATGGGGGGAGACTACGACGTTTAATCGAAGTAATAAACTAATTGATAAGATTACGCATTTTCCTTAATACGCCATGTCGTCGGTCTGGCGAGTACTATAATAATTACCTCGAGGATTAATATATTATAAGAGAATTCCTATATAGTACTACGCGTTTATTAAGATATATAGCGTTTTTAAGTATTAATATCGCTACTATAGCTAAGTTAGCTAAGTTTTTTAGTAAAATAAAATTAGAAGCTTACTTTTTAATTACTACACTATAGCTCCTAATTTGACGAGGGCTTATTTAACTATTTATTCGACTTTTTTCAAGAATTTCAAAAAAGGCTATATCACGTAGATACGCATTTTTGTTAAGGATCATATGTACGCAGGGTGTGAATATTATATATCGGGCAATACACCAAAAAAATAAGTCTTGGCAGGGTTTCCTACTCAGACCCACCTCAAGGCCGGTGGGGCCAAGCTGAGACTACAAGGTGGGCTCGAGATCCCTGCTGACGGTCATCCGCAACGGACGAACTTGCCGCCCTACTGTCACGCGATTGGGGAAGGTGGGGTTCCCCACCCGCGCGGGTCTTGTTTCTCATGTCTTGTCTTGAACCCAAGACAAAGGGAACCTCAAAGATCAAAGATTCCTTCATCCGATGTATGTCTCTTTCTTAGCGATGACTTTGGGACTGGCGAGTTCTAGTTAGAACATCTGGGGAACTTGAGAAGGGAAAATGTCTGAAATGTAATCAGTACGACCCACGCTGCTTGTGATCTGTAGGGGCTGTTACCATCCAATGCATCGGATCTGGCCATCCAGTCGATTATTTATCCTTATTCAACAGCACTTACCTGGGTAACTAACCCCTCAATCGCACCGTCACAGCCCAGGAGAAAATGGCAACCATAGAAGCCCTTATCCAAGAATGGCTACGTTTGGACAGGGATGAAGCCACGAGGACGGAGATTCTGGAACTCGTCAAGCAGCAAAACTTCAAGGAATTAGATTTTCTTCTCGGTTCGAGGCTCACATTTGGTACAGCTGGTCTCAGGGCTCGAATGGGAGGGGGCTTTTCACGACTCAACAGCTTAACTATCATCCAAACATCCCAGGGTCTAGCTCAGTATCTACTAGAAGAAGAACGGGCCTCAGCAGCTACGGCAGGAGTAGTCATTGGGTATGATGCCCGCCACAACTCCAAGAAGTTTGCAGAACTTGCAGCTGCCGCCTTCATTGCCAAAGGGATTCGAGTCTCGTGGTACGAGGATCTCGTTCATACTCCAATGGTGCCTTTCGCTGTGAAACAGCTTCATGCCGCCGCTGGTATCATGATTACTGCAAGCCACAATCCCAAAGACGACAATGGCTACAAAGTCTACGGGTCAAACGCATGCCAGTAGGTGCTTTTATTGTCAGCTCTTCGTGCTCGTACTCAATCTTGAGCTTGAGCAGTAAGATGGAGTCTGGTAGTAAAGCTATGGCTTCGCTTTCGAGAGTGGTTCCTCAAGTCAAGCTTTAATCTCGAAGAAGAACTACTGACTTGATGACTATATCGCAGGATCAATAGCCCAGCAGATGCCAAGATTTCAGCCGCTATACTAAACAATCTAGAGCCAGTGACCTGGGACATCAAAGGCAACGGACAGTCCAAGCTGCTCACCCCAGTGCTGGACAACATGCGGGCAAGCTACCTTAAAAAAGTACATCAATACGTGGATGTTCGCCCAAGAGATGCCGGCTTTCCTCTGGGATTTGTATATACTCCTATGCATGGTGTCGGTCTCGTTCCCATGGAAGCCATATTGAAGGTGCTAGATAGCCATGACCGCATGGTAGTAGTCCGGGAGCAAGCCCAGCCTGACGCCGAATTCTCCACTGTGGTTTATCCGAACCCCGAAGAAACAGGGGCTCTTGACCTAGCAAAGGCAACAGCAAACCAGCGGAATGTACGATTGATTCTTGCCAACGACCCTGACGCAGATCGTTTTGCCGTTGCCGAGAAGCTGGATGACGGTTCCTGGCATCAATTCACCGGTGATCAAGTAGGGATTCTTCTCGCGGATTACCTGGCCAAAGGGATAAAGCCCGAAGAATCGGGTGAAGAGTGGATGTTGACGACCGCGGTGTCTTCCCAGATGCTTTCAGTGCTTGCAGAAGCTCGAGGATTCGCCGTTGAGGAAACCCTTACAGGATTCAAGTGGCTTGGTAATCGAGCATTAGAACTTGCGGGTAAGGGCAAAAAGGTGCATTTTGCCTACGAAGAAGCGCTAGGTTACATGTTCCCTGACGTCGTCCATGACAAAGATGGGATTGCAGCCGCTGTCGTTTTTCTGCGCGCTTGCAAGGATTGGCCATCATGTTCCCCGTGGGCTAAACTACAGGAATTGTATGGGGGCTACGGCTATTTTCATACGATTAATACGTACTGGCGGTCTCCAGACATAACAGCAACGTCGGCAGTATTCGATCAAGTGCGTCGCATTGGGGAGCCTTACCCAAAGCTTGTCGGACGAAGAAATGTAGTCCGCTGGCGAGACCTGACCGTGGGGTATGATTCCAGTACTAACGACCACACACCTGACTTGCCCGTTTCAGAAAGTAGTCAAATGATCACCTGCTGGCTCGAAAAACTCGATGATATTGACGAAGGAATCCGCTTCACGGTTAGAGCATCTGGGACTGAACCCAAGATCAAGATATATTTGGAATGCCGTGGCAAGGATCCATTATCAGCCAAAACAGGGGCAACCCAGATGCTGGAGAGTATAAAGCTGGAATGGTTCAATGATCCTTGCCTCATTATGGAGAAGAAGCCTTGACTTTGTCAACGTCAGATGATGCTCGACCAGAGCAAGGATCTATTTCCATTGGCTTCGGACCCCCACTGGTGACCAACCACGTACAAGCAGCTAGCGCTTGGCTTATTCCTGCGCTCCGTAAACACCAAAAGAATTGTTCAACAAGGGCCAAAGAACAGACGGGTGACTCGCCTGCTTGATTTGCAAGCGCAGCAAACCGTGACTTCGTTGAATTTAACCTCCTCCACCACCTCGATTAATCATGGGATTGAACATGTACACATACGCATGTTTGCTCTGGCGTTTGCTAAACATTGATTACATGCTTGATATCCTCACAAAACCCAGTCGTAGTGACGCTTCCTAGGCACGAAACCCAAGAGCTATCTTCATCACTACCCAACATTCTCCAAAAAGGCCAACTTCAACGGAACAAAACCCCATTCCATACCTGGACCCGAGTACATCCAGACCAACCTTTCATTCCTCAACAACATGGACCGCTACCAACCTTACCCCTCCCAACGTCCCCGTCCCCGTCGTGAACCCAGCTTCTACCACGACTCCGACCATCCCCCTAGCTCGTACGATCGTGCTGCCTACCCTTGAAGCCGTCACGGCGGACGTCGCTCATCAGTCATACCCACGCCGATGTCCCACCCGCCGACTCTGCACTATGGAACCTTGCAAGTTCTCTCTGCCTCCTTTCGCAGAACTCTAGACTCATGACCTATAGCAGCGGCAGCAGACATGGTCGACCGACACTGTCTCGCCAGCGCTCTGCAGGCTACGGTTGCTGCTACCCTTGTGGTTCGGGAGAGTGTGACGGGGATTACGAGCCGATGATGGAACGAACGCCCATACCGGGATCTGTATGGTGTGGACGGGAGGCGAAGGGCGTATGACGTTGATGAGTTGGACGATTAATGATGATGATGATGGTGTGCTGGATCATGGGGAATACTTAGTAGTGGATGATCGGTGTGCTAGGATGCATTTCAGGCTTGTTATCTAGGTTGGAGCGAGACATGGCCTGAAGAATGGTTTCGTTCAAGCAAAAAGTATTCCATAGACAACACGCTCTGATGTCACGCTCCAAGATACACTCATTGATGTCCACGAAGTGTGGAAGTAGAAAAGCTTGACAGCACGCTATGTACAAACCCCCCAATCCCCTCGCTCTCTCTTTTCCGCATTCTCCACTGCGCTCTCTAATAATGAATCGCCTTTCCATACGTCGCCATCGCCGCCTCCTTGAATGCCTCAGCCAGCGTCGGATGCGCGTGGCTCGTCCTCCCCACGTCCTCACTCGACGCGCCATACTCAATCGCCAGCACCCCCTCCGCAATCATCTCTCCCGCATTTGGCCCCACAATATGAATCCCCAGTATCCGATCCGTCTCGGCATCCGCTAGGAACTTGACCATTCCTTCCGTCTCCAAATTCGTCTTCGCCCTCGAATTCGCACTAAACGGGAAACTTCCCGCCTTGTATTTCACCCCCTGCTCTTTCAACTCCGCTTCGTTCTGCCCAACCCAAGCAACTTCTGGGTGCGTGTACATGACGGAGGGAATGGCGTTGTAGTTGACGTGGCCGTAGCCCTTTTTGACGAACTCCACGGCTGCGACGCCTTCTTCTTCCGCCTTGTGTGCGAGCATGGGGCCGAAGGTGCAATCGCCTATGACACGGATGTGGGGGAGTTTGGTCCGGTATTGTTCGTCAATGATAAGGCGGCCTTTATTGTCGACTTCGAGGCCGATGTTCTCGAGACCAAGGCCGGCGGTGTAGGGGCGACGGCCGATGGCTACGAGGACGACATCCGCGTCGAGCTAGCAGAAGGTCAACAAGGGGCCTGGCAGCGCGGGTCAGAACAAGGATGGCTTACGGTCTCTGCTTTGCCGCCCTTTGCAGCTTCGACTTCCAGCTTCACGCCCTCGCCGCTGGAATCACCTTTCAGGACTTTAGTGCCGAGTTTGAATTTCATGCCTTGCTTTTCCAGTATCTTTTTGGTGGTTTTTGAGATCTCGGCGTCCATGCCTGGACCTCCGATTTGGCCCAGGAATTCAACGACTGTGACTTCAGATCCTAGTCTTGACCAGACAGAGCCCTACGTACCCAGCATTAGCATACTGCTTCCATGTTCGGCATCCAGCCCGGATTACCATTTCAAGACCAATGATGCCCCCTCCGATCACCACCATCTTCTTAGGCACTGATTCCAGCGCGATTGCCCCGGTACTCGTAACGACCTTCTTCTCGTCTATAGTAAGCCCAGGGAATGGCGTCGCTTCACTGCCCGTTGCGATGAATATATTCTTCCCCCGCAGTGTCTGCTCCCCACCGTCTATCAGGTTGACCTTGACCTCATTCTCCCCAGAGAACGCCCCAGTGCCTTTTATGTATTCGACCTTGTTCTTCTTGAATAAAAACTCCACCCCTTTCGTTAGGCCATCCACTGAGGTGTTCTTTGCAGCCATCATCTGTTTCAAGTTGAGCTTAACATCGCCGACGTCTATGCCTCGCTTTTTGGTATCGTGTAGGATTTGGTGGTACATATGTGAGTTGTTGAGGAGGGATTTTGAGGGTATGCAGCCGACGTTTAAACATGTTCCACCTAGAACACCGCGCTTTTCTATACAAGCCACCTAGTTGCGTGTGAGTCTCCCAACTTGACAACATTCGTAAACTAGAAGCAAGCTACCTTCATGCCCTCTTGCCCTGCTTTTATGGCGGCGACATAGCCGGCAACGCCCCCACCAATAATAATCAGATCATGCTCCGCTAGAGACGGTCAGCAAGCTCGAGGTACAGACCCTTTACAGTGCTTACAAGCTTCTGTTGCGTAGCCTCGACCTCTGCTGGTGTATAGACAGACTCCGGTTGGTAGAAATGTACTAGAGCAGCTCAACGGTCTTGTGGCGGACCTTGACGCGCCTTTGGGGATCAGAGTGCGAATCATGGTGGAGAGAAGTGTAGAAGGAGAGGAAAAGAGTGTAAAGAAGGGACTAAGACAGCAAAGTCAACTACCAGTGGTTGAAGAGTTGCTCGAAGGCGAAAGAATTAAATGGCAGCTTTGAACATCTTCGGCGACCCCATCTCGGCTAGCGGCGGCGAGCCCCAACTTCAACCGCTATAAAATCCACACTTACCATCACCAGCTACCAGTTCAACTGCCTTGAGGAGTGTATACAAATTAGGCTCGTGAAGATGGTCTGATGCTACGGTTTGATACTATAGAATTTCCGTGGGAGCCGCTATCACCAAATGCCAGGAACCATCTTCCACCTCACCTTCTCCGTCGCCCTCTTCCACTCCTTCCCATAAGCTCGGTCCATATACCCCTCGAGGACGCGCACAGACGTGCCACATAGGATATAAGCAAACATAGCCAACGCCAACAACCCAAAACCCCACCCGCCGGCCGCAGTCGCAAACGCTGTCCTCCAAATCGTGAATCCGAGGAAGTTGGGATGTCGGACCAGGCCCCAGACACCTCCCGTGTACACTTTACCTCTGTTCTTCGCATCTTTCCGAAACAGATATTTGCTGTGATCGGCTAGGAAGTGGAGGCTGAGACCGGCGACGAAGAAGATGGGTGTCCATTCGAAAATTGTCGGTGACCAGGTGGGATTGCGAGATGCTAAGTACACAAAGAGAGGGGCATGAATGCTGTCGAAAAGGTTTACTTGCCTACATGTTATCTGGCTCAGTAGGTTTTCGGTCAAGATGGGGATTGACTCAGAGGACAAGTCCTATGAACAAAGTAGCCGTGGCCATGTCTCGTGGCTCAAACCACAGTCCTAATTAGAAGTTGACCCGGGAAAACAGACTCACGTGGTAACCTGGATCGATCCACCTTGTCCGCTCATTGGAAACTTCTCGCGCCTCCACACGGTATTGTACATGATGAACGTGACCGACGGGAGAGCCACACCCAGAAATACCATCGCAGAGTACGACGGCAAGCCGAGAGATTGCTCGATCCAACGCAGCAGGAAATCCGGGAAAAACGGGATGGCCAGGGGATCGGTTGGAGGAGGTCGAGATGGATAAGCCGAGGGAAACCTTGAGAAGATTGATAGAGCGGAGATTGGTGGCGCCAAGAGTGAGTAGAAGAGTACAGGCACCGCTGTACGGACGGCTACGAAGAGAGCGGCGCCTGCTGCGCTGCCACCGTACTGGCCCCGAAATGGGAAAAGGTCCATTGGCTCCAGTGGAGGCGATGCTGCTTTTTTCGATGCCATGCTCGCTCGTTCTCCGGTGTGATTCTGTCAGGCTTTGGCGGAGGGGAAAAGGACGATTTTGGTCGGCACGCTTAATCAGAAACCGGAAGAGGTGAGTATGGAAGTAGAGCTAATTCTGAAGACATCAATGCAAGGATTTGATTACAATATCTGGATTTGGAAAGTAAGCGCTAATTAGGCTAACTATGGCGCCAATTGAGTAAACTATAAAGGATCGAGAACCGTAAGGTAGATCCAGTGTGCTAGTATAGATACAGATAGAAATTTATGCTACTGTGGCAGAGGAAGCAAATCTCTGGATGTGGGTAGCTTGTAGTCCTTGACATTCGCTCTCATGTCCCCTTATGCCGGCTCTCTTCCCACTCTCCCACCAACCCCTTGTAATCTACCTGACCATAACTGCCCCCAAACACCTCCCCCGCCCATCCCCATCCATTCCGCCAACTCCTCAAGCCCAAATCCTGCAACAGCAAATCAAAACACGCAATGCCCTCTAACACGACATCCGGATGCCCGGCACCAAGCCCATACGGTGTTCTCCACTTCCCCCAGCGTTGGAAGAGCGCAGTGTCGTACATGATATCATCTACCGTCCCGATCTGCTTGACTGCAACGCCGTTCTCATCCGCAAGCGTTTGCTCCAGACGCAGCTGTTTAGCAGACTTACTGATTGATTTCACGGAACCGAGCTTGTCGTTCATGTAGGCGTAGGCCCAGATACTGCTGATTTCCGATCTGACCGCGCCCTGCAATTGGGCGACTACGCCTAGGAAGACAACGTCTGGAGTTGGCAGCGAGGGGGGTGCCATGCCCCTCCAGAGCCGCCATGGAGTGAATGCTTGACGAATTCTGCCCTTTTCTTGTTCAACCAGCGATTCCTCATCCATCTTGGGCGCAGTTGCAAGCTTTGGGAACCTGTCGAAAACCTCCGCATCAGCACGTCCGTCCAGCTTGAACGAGATCTCCTTTTGAGTTTTGGTATACTCCGTACTTGGCAGACCTAGATCTGCGTGCATTTCCTTTGGCCGGAAATCGATACTCGGTCTCCATTTCCACCCCATGCTGGCAACAAATGCATCAGTCTGATCCGAAGTCTCATCCTCAAAGCGTATGACATTTCCTGCTTCGAGGGATTTGACGTCCTTTCTGATCACTTCCACTGGGCCAATCCTCACGAGTTCGTCAATATACTTTGGATAATTCAAGATTGCAAGGCTCACACCATACCAAAACAATGGCTGATCCGGTACCAAGTTCTTCGTTGCTTCGCTCTCCAATATGCCGCTCTGCTCAAGCGTATCGGACGCCATCTTCGCCCAGAGACCGTCTACAAACCATCGACCCCAGCTCGTGCCGTGAAGCAAATTCCGTAGATTTCCAAAGCCATCCGCATCACCCAAACGCACGGAGAAAGCCATGTAAGAGGCCGTGTTGTGGTTAGCTTTTCGAGCCAACATCTAAGAGGACCGATGTAGATGTGTGCTGGCGCCATGTACGTTGAGCCATGGCCCGAACCTCGGATAATCCAGGTCACTCGTTCACCATGGGTCGCCACCAGGTAGACAATGTCATACGCAGCTTTACCGCCCCCCAAAACGGTAACACGACCGATGGAGCTGTCTTCGTAGATTCGGGGTTCCTTCGCGAGCGTAGTCGCCAATATTAACAATTGGCGCAGCGAACTCCTCGCTGCCCTTGATGTTAATAGGAACAGAAGCGGATGTGAGACCGGCAGCAATAATGAGCTTGGAGCATCTAATGGTCCGTTGTACTGGCGGCGGTCCAATAGCTTGCCCCTTTGACCAGGCGGTCTCGAGCTCCAGCCTCCACCCCGCTTGCAGCTCTTCTGCAACCATGACCTTTTGACCGAATTCGATTCGCCTTGTCAAATCATGCTTCTCAGCGTACCGACCGAAGTACTCGTAAATGACCTCGCCAGGGATATGCTCCTCATCTTTTACGCCAAGCACATCGTCCATGGGGAAAATCGATGTACTCGAATGTTCCACGCAGGTTGTTTGACTTCAGGCTTGAGTAGAGGTTTTCTTTCACCCAAACACCGCCAACCGACAGGTTCGAGTCAACGATCAGTAGCTTAAGCTCTGATTCCAGCTGAAGGAAGATTCAGGCTGCAGCTAAACCTTGAAGGCCTGCTTCGACGATGACTACGTCATAATTGAACTCCATGGTGCACTCTTCACTGAAGAACACAATGATCGAACAATTTTGATGGTGTCAATAAAATCGGGAATTGGGGCCGCGAATGCTTTCAACAAGCAGAGATGGATTGAGTCGACGAATGTGAGACGGAAGACTCCACTGCCTCGAAGCAACGCAACCTAAGGAACACACCGATTTGTGTGGAGCAAAAAAAAGCGGTCTACTTTTTCGGAGGAAAAAAGCTCGAGGCAACATTGGTGGCATTAAACTCGGATAGGCAAGGATCCCGCGATCCAAGATGCGCACCTTTGCACAAGGTGAGGGGACGTGGGGACCCAGACAAGCACGAATGTATTAATACTTCAGGGTGCAGAGACGTTTGGAACGACGATGTATTTGCCAAGGGTGAGTGCTAGTCGTCAGCCGGGATCTGGTGGGTTGCGATGACCAACAAAGCATCGCATGCTACCTTACATCCCCATCTGACCATTGCTTGATCGACCATGCTTCCGGCAACATCGGTTTTACTAACCACTTTCTTCAGAAAGTACCGTAGGCCGCTAGCCATCTCAAGGATCTCTTTAGGCTTAAGGAAAATATCCAACAAGACCTTTTCGTTCCTGCTTTTGTCCAAGCCCTGTTGCGAATGGAGGATTGTCGTGATGAGTAAGATCTCCACAAATGTCCGAGTTTTAGACTGCAAATAGGCAAGATTGAGGTTCTAGTCGGGTCAGTGTGAATACATCATGGTATCATGATCAAGAGGAAACACACCTTGAGGACACCAAGTCCCAACCCGCCCTCTGCAATCAATACTCCAAACATCCTTGCTAGGTTGACCAAGCTTCTCAGCCCAAGCTTGCCTTCGTCATCTTCGTCATATTCTTTAGGCTCGTCTTCACCTTCACCCAGCTGCTGGAAGAGATCCCACAGCGAAAATTGGAATGACATTTTGAGCTTCTTGTCTGAGCACACCCGCCTCGATAAAAAAGTATAGAACGGATTGTAAACCTTTTCAGCCCCGGCACACTGTATCAGCACCTTTGATATCTCCAACTCCTGACTCCTTTTGAGACACAACTTCATCAAACGAATATATGCATCATTGTAATCCGTCGCGGACATGATAGCGATGAAGATCGAGCGCCTTACATCGGTGTTCATCCGCTGTTCCTTCGCAAGTTGTATCAGATCGGTAGCAACGCCGGCCCTGTCAACCTCTCCATTATTCTTGCCACGGACGGGAGAGGCTTGCTCAGTTCGCTCGGTATCATCTGCATCGTCATCCTTGTAGCTTGCTCCTACTAGCCACCATTTGCCTCTCTTGTCTGTCTGACGCAGATCTTTAAGCCCAATCCTAAGGGGCTCGCTTGCTCTAATGTTTCTCTGATTCAAAGATCCAAGGGTCTTCCTCATTCGAGTCGTGTGCTCGGAGGTAACGGTCGAAGCAGCGACGCCTGTCTTCATGCGGTTGTTCTTAAGATTGTTGATCGTTTCGATCATGAACTTTGTTCGAACAGAGAGCTTCTCTTCCCCTGAGTCGGCTACTGCGGCCTGCAGCTGCAGCACAATTTCTTTCAAGGAAGACGGATCATCTTGTCTTAATTGTGGGCCCGAGTTGCGGATGATCTTCAGAAGGAGCTCGGTGTTTGTCTCGGACAACTCATGGAGGAAAAGGCGAACGAAGTCATAGATCAGTTTGCTGCCGATAACCTGGAAATTATACAGCTCTGCAAGCAAGCTTATTAGGTTGGTCAGCTTCTTGCCAGTCCTATCTTGATTTGCACTCAAACGATAGTTCTGCCTGAAGTCCTCGTCTATCTTCTGAATGATTTGGGCACCGAAATCCGTTCCCACGATTTTGTAAAGTGCAGCAATGAAGCCTGCATGTAGGATAACGAAAGTATCTGACAGAGTGGTAGGATCAGAGAGAAGTCCCATCAGCAAATCAAGAAGCGTGGTAGTGACATGTTGGCGAGGATGATCGCGATATATAGCTTCCATATCACCAAGTATAGATATTAGGTTCGCTTCAGACAACCGATTTAAAAGGCCCTGTATCTGTCGCCGTAGTTGCGAGAGGTCTTCCGATTTTGTAGCATCTTTGTTTCGTAATGACGGTGGAACATATTTCCTAACCTCTGTAGAACCAGAAGAGGTCACAGGGGCAACATATGGATTTTCCCGTTTCCTTTGTGTAGTCTTCGATGGCAATGGCAGCTCTGCCTCTTCGCCGAAGGACTCAAACTCGTCGTCTTCGTCTGTGTGGAATTGGCCTTGCAATTTCTCTTCATTCTCCTCTTCGTCCTCATCCTCATTGCCTATGACGCTGTCTTCGTCCTCACCTTGTGAAGACGCGCTGCTGCTGGGATCCTCGATAATTGGCTTGCTCTCCTGTGCTTTCTGCCTCTTTCTCTCCAGCCATTCATCTTCTTCACTTCTCTTTCTTTTTCCTGGTCGCCCTTCATTCAAGCCCACAGCATCATCTATGCCCTCCAGCAAAGAATCTAGGCCATCGTCTTCAAAGGACTTGGGCAGTTTCTTTTTTCCCTTTACCCCCAGCGCCTTCTCCAACGCTGCAATCTCCGCATCATCAGCTGCAAGCTTGTCTTGAACCCCTCGTGACAATTTCTTCGGCGGAGGTGGAGATGGCGATAGTGATTTCGCTTGCGGTCTTGCCTCCATTGGCTTAGGCTTCTTTAAGATCGACTTTGGCGCTTTTGGCTGCACCGAGGTCGTATTGACCTTTGGCTGCTCAACAGCAGTGGGAGCTTCCGAGTATAGACTTTCATCCTCGGGACTCAGCCGTCTTCGCAGGGGCCGCGCATTTCTCAGTGGGACATGAGCCGATTTCTTCTGCACTCTGGCAGCTTTTCTCTGCTCTTTCCTATTCGTAGGGCCGCCGCGTTTCTTCCCAACGCCTCCATATTGCCCACCAGAGATTCCAAGCTCTTGAAGTAGCAGCTGCGGGAGCTTTGCAGTATTGTGAGTGGGCTGCGGCATTGCAGTGATCATGTAAAAGCCAGCTTCAAACACATCTCAAAGTCGAAATTTCCCCGGACTTTTGCCGGAGTTAAGCTCTCTTAGCGAGCGAGCGCTGAGGACATCCCCACACAAAACCTCGGCCAACATCAAATTCCACACCAGCCTTTCATCACATTACCGAACCCAGCTGTTCAGGTCGTGATTGGCAACAGCACATTCCTCAGAAAACTCCAGTCCCCAGCATTCCAAGATCCAACAACATCTCACGACAGGCAATATGTCGTACCAAAAACCCGAGAAGGACTTCGGTGACGGACCCGTAAGTTTTTGGTCTCTACTTACGGTCTACACAAGCGTTATGACGAACCCGAGGCTAACACCGCTCACGTTGCTTTCTACAGAAAATCCACAAGATCCGCATCACCCTGACATCGCGCAAGATTCAGAGCCTCGAGAAGGTCTGCCAGGAGCTCATCGAGCGTGCGAAGAGCAAGGACCTCCGCGTGAAGGGCCCCGTCCGTCTCCCAACCAAGAGCCTAAAAATCACCACGAGGAAAACGCCTTGCGGTGAGGGGAGTAAGACTTGGGATACGTATGAGATGCGCATCCACAAGCGTTTGATTGAGTAGGTCTCGCCAACACAGGAGGAGTATCTGAGGTTTTCAGGATAGATGGGAACTATGCTAACGCGTCGTGCTGAATCTAGTCTCAACGCACCTACGGAGGTTGTGAAGCAGATCATCGTTAACATCGAGTCTGGCGTGGAGGTGGAGGTTACAATCGCTGCTTAGGAAACGGATGAGACGATGGCAATGGATCTGTTTTAGGCGGCTGAGGCGTGAAAATGGAGTTTTCCATATGCAGCTGGCATTGATAGTCTCAGACCAGCCGCAATTGCAGCATGGAACTTGTTTTCTACCAAATCGGTCGACAGTAAGCTCATGCAACAATGTTCCACTCGGTGCCTTTTGGTCGCGTGTTTCACTAAACTTCTCGTTTGCGGTCTGCTCACTGGTGTCTAAATGGAAAAAACCGAAACAACTATGAGGCTTAAAAATTCCAACTGCACCACTCCCTCTTTGGTGGGAGAGTTGGCATGATTCCATCCTTGAAAGTCCCAGTCTGTTTCAGATGTCTGTAATTTGCTTTCGTTGCCTCATCGTATGCTTCCTCAGGCAGGTCTACAGTCTTCGTAAAGACGGGTGGTCCATCGGGAAACCATATTCTCTGCCAACTACCATCATTGCCCTTGTAGCACGGCTCGTCATCGAAGTATCTTACGGGCGTGCCCTTCCAACTCGTTATCTTGCCCTGTGAATCCTTTTGAACTTGGACACCGTTCGTTCCTTGTCCGCTTGTGGATCTGACATTTGCGGGGTTTGCTGCTGGACCAGTATATGGTTGTACTGTATTAGAAGGGCCAAAAGGTTGGCTAGACGAGGGAACAGGTTGATTAGCAGTCGAGCTCCTCCTCTGGCCAAAAGGGTTCGGTGCCGCAATTGATGGCTGCTTGAAGATGCCTGTTGTCGAAGGGGCAGTAGGCTGACCTAACGGATTGGGAGGTGCTGTTGAACTTTGTGAGAACCCATTATTAGCTCCAGATGTCGCCGGCTGACTAAAGGCAGGGGAGGGATTCCGTATCGACGGTCTCCCAAATGCGCTCGGTTGTGACGGAGCTGATGGCTGTCCGAATGTGGAGGGCTGTGTGGGGGCCAATGGCTGACCAAAGGGATTTTTGGCAGCTGCTGATGGCTGCGGGGGGAAATCTGGTCCCGATGGATTTACGAAGGTGTTCGGTTGTAGTTGTGGGGCTCCGAAAGGGCCCGGAGCGGAAGGCTGGCCAAATGTAGTGGCGGGGACTGAGGGACTGCCGAAAGTCGAGGACGGCTGCCCAAAGCTTGTCGTTGGACGGCCGAGTTTTGAAGCTTGGCTAAAACCCGAAGGTTGGCTCGGCTGACCGAACGTTGGTGCTGATGGGTGACCGAAGGTCGAGGTAGGTGCAGAGGGCTGGCCAAAGGTCGAAGCAGGTGCAGGAGGTTGGCCAAATGGAGTCACTGAAGGTCTTCCGAATGCTGACGGTGCAGCAGGTTGACCAAGAGCCGATGCTGAGCTGGAAGGCTGGCCGAAGGTTGACGTGGTTTGCTGGTTTGGGGCTGATATTTGTGGTTGGGTCGGCGTAGCACCCTTCGCTTTACAGACGTCCAGTCGATTAGGGTGCTCATTTTCTCCATTGATCATGTACTTGACTGCTCCGTCAACGTCGTTGAGAGCAGTCTGAATCTGCTGCTCTGCGTTGTTTACTAGCGCATGAGCCTCTTGGACAGCTTGTTGTTGGTTGCCTTGAGCAGCCAGTTCGTAATGACGAAGTCGTAGCTCCTCGAAGCTCTGTTCTCGTGGGTGGCCGCCGAACAATTGCAGAGGTGCATCTCTGCCTGGACCGTAAGCCGATAGAATCCATTGAGGCCTCTCTTTCGACAGATCATTGGCTATCGTAGCTTTGTCAAGCTTGTAACTGGAGACGGAGGTTAGCCATGTCGCACAACTGGGGAGACTCGGATATCTCACGGTGGATCTCGTGTCGTTGAACTTCCTAGATGATAGTGTCTTAGTAACGGGTTCATGACGATTGAAAGTGAAATGGAAGAAGCAATGTAGATTTCGAAGGACTCCGTTGGAAAGAATAAGACTACAGCATTGAGATTTCGCACTCAGTTGTCGGATGAAATCAAAGAAAAGAGGATTATCTTTGGTTCCACTATTGAGGGAAAATTGACCGGTACTCGTACCTCGAAGAGGATTCGGGCCTCCTTGCGCGCCCGGATTGTTTTGCAGAGGCGCGAACGGATTCCGTGAAGTTGCATTCGTGCTCCTTCCTGGATGCTCAAACTTGCATTGATCTTGGATTTCAGTCAGATGTCCAGGTGGATGTTTAAGTTTTGGTTCAATGGTTACATGCCTCCAAACCTGCAGTTCCCTTGCACAAAAAACTTGCATACCACCATGTTTATTGTCTCAGTGGAGCCACGACATATTGTCATGCATCATTTACAAAGTTTCTGAAGGCTTAGAATACTATCATGGGGATTGAGTGTCATTGACCTGAAAAAGTGAAGTGTTGAAGATTGCTGGTCGACAATTCTACAAAGACGAAGATATTCCCCCCAATCCACCCCTGCTCCTCTCCCCGGAAGGGCCGCTTTTAGGCGATGATCCACCAGCCCTAAGGGCCGTTTCACCAACCGAAGCACATTTTCAAAATAATTTTCTTTACTCGTGCAATCCAGGAATGAGTCCCACCTAAAATTTAGCGTCTGGCAAGGTCTTCCCGCAAATATCTTTGTTTATTCTACCATTGTTTACCCATCAAATCCAGCTATATTATATATTCAATGGCCTCATACGGTATCGAAATTAGTCTAGAGCTTAGAGTAGCTGTAGTTGTTTGTAGACTACCTACTGTATTGCGAAAGTTTTGATGTCATTGAGCGAAGAATGGGGTGAATAAGAGATCTGCTTTCGCCTTAATGCTGAGAGCAATTAATAGAGCCGGAAACGAGGATTTTCACGATATTCTAGCATGCCTGAAGAGTCTCGATCGCCCTGGAGGACCGGCTCGAATAGAAGATTAATCAGATCTCTCAAAAACAGTGCGATGAGAGAGCATACCTCAGTGGCAGCCCCTCTCTCTATGAAATTTTAGTGCGATTTTGCGGAGAACTGAGTAACTTGATTGGTTGATTCCCGGCGCTATTTTAGCGTGGGAACTCATTCCTGGATTGCACGAGTAGTCAATTACCAGCCCTACGTCTTCAATACGCATGAAATATTATGCAACCTTGGCGCCAAGATCAAATTCTGATAGCTGAAATTTCAGCCCTAAGGCAAAAAATATGAAAATGTACGCTAATTTCTAAAACTTGCCCTGAGGCAAGTTTTGAGCCAAAATGTACACTAAAGAAAAGCGACATCCGAGGTCGAATTTCTATAAATTCCTACTCTTATATTCAAAAGCGATTTGAATTTTACGCCTTTTATAATCATAATAATTAGACTTAGTTCTCTCGATCGTACGCTTTCAAATATTCTAAATATGTGTGTTATAAATTCTTGTTTCGGGGGCTTAACGTTGAAGCGATTACGGGGCGTAATCTGTGGTTCTCTTGGCACGTTATGATACCCCTACCTGAAAAGAAAAGTTGAAAATCTAACCTGATCATGTCGAAAATGTGGTAGCCAAACGGGCCCTTAGATAAGGTATCACCCAACCTAAGGAGCTAAGGTACCTAGTGCTTGATTGACCACCCTCTCTCGGGCAGGGAGGAAGGGGGGATGAATTGCACCTGACAGGACGCGATTATCGTAAATTTGATTTTCTATTATCTTCTGTGACTTGACAACAATAAGCTTGATTACAAGATACCAGTGTTAATATTGGTCTTCATAGCTAACTTAGAATACAACATACTACATGTCATGCTGCGCCGCAAGCCTCTCACTCAAACCTGCAGCATTGGACCTGTTCAAACCACTCATACATTCGTGGCGCGTGTAATGTACATCTGATGTGGAGTGATGCCGTCATTCGAGCTTTCCTGGCCCTGAGGTACCGGTTCAGGCCAGGCTTGTGCCTCAGAAGTGTTGGATAGCGCATAAGATTCTGGGCACTCCGACACATTTTGGGCGCTAGAAACAAGTGGAGACCATGTTCCCCCAGTTACGTTTCCTCTGGGCTTGAACACATATCTCGCGTACTGAAGCTTCGTGTAATGGGACGAATCCTGCGACCCGCCTAGTCTGGGTTTCGCAGCTTGCTTGCCAACGGGCCTGTCTCGACGCCGTCTAGGAATGGCTTGATAAAAGACATACACGCGAAGAAAATACTGCAGGTCGTGGCAATTTCCGTGAACAAAGCCCTATTGAAGTAGTCAAATGTTGGCTCTAGCGAATTATTCGACGCGAATTGGTTTACCAGGCGCAGAATTGTTACCGGGATGGCGCTGAGGGACTCAATATTAGTCACTCGTCCCGAACCGTCGTGTTGGTGACAGTGACGGATTGCTTATAGCATTCTGCCGGCGAAAGCTAGAATGGCATTCATTTTCCTTGTGCGAGTCATCTGGACTCGGTGAAGGATGATCATCGGTAGGACGGTAATCACAATGTCGATGAGGATGTCGAGGGTACTGATAAATCCCCAAAACGCTGGCTAGTCTAGAGTCAATGGCAGGTCTAAGGTCCAAGGTTCTTCAAAGATCTCATCCGATTGAAGCAGAACCCCGAGGTGATTTCCCAGGCGCGAGGCACTCTGCACTGAAACACCACTCCCCAGAAAGCAATTAGGGCCCAAGCGGCATTACTTGTCACTGTCGCTTTAATCCACAGCCTCTTGTACTTATCGTGGGCCAATGGCACCAGAAATCGCAGTGTAATCATCTTGGCAAGCGCGATGGATAGGACATAAAGAATTTCGACAGCATAGCCTGCCTATCTCATTATTGTTGCTGATCAGTATCAAGCTCTTGCTAGAACCTCTCAAGAGTTTAGTATTGATATACTATATACCCTTTGAAATTTCTTGACTTGCTCGGCTGTCAGAGAGTCGATATGCTGACCTAAACCTCCCTCGACTTGCTGAAATACCGCGACACATTGTCCTACAGCAAAAACCTTGCAGATATCAGTAGGACAGTCATATGCTCGGCCTGGGAAGTTGAGATATTTGTTTACTCACCAAGGCAGACAATGCGAACCAATCGTCACTCTGCAAAGCTCTGACAATAATGAATTTAGTGAGAGCCTTGATAAGAGTTGTGAGGATTGACGTTGTCAGAAGAAGATAGGCTGCGAACTCAATTAGCGGTCCCCTCTTGTCCGCTGTGATCAGTGGTCTTTGATAAACCATCCTCGTAGAGCCTCCAATGAATTAGGAATTTCGAGTCATCTGAGGGATTTTGAATCTTCAATAGCAGCAGCGTAAACCGTGCAAGCTATCAAGGCTGATGTGTGTTGCACGGAGCAGTATCTCCAAGGGTGTCTCAAGGAAGTAAGTAGCACGGGAGCATGATAGGCATTGCGATATCAGAATCTGTAGAGCTGTCATAGGATCATCGTATTCGCACGGACATTGACATCCAAGGATTGAGGAGGCAAGTAGCATTAGGTACGGATACCTGCTCGGCTCGTGCCTTCCAACAAGGAAGGCCCCTGATGCAGAGCGGGATAACGAGGGCACTAATGACTGGGTGCAAGGTGAAGTAGGGCTCGGGGCCATTAGCTTAGATGCAAATCTGTGGTCCCTAATATACACATCATGCGCGAACGACCTGCCCTCTCCGTTAGCTACCTCTACCATGAGCCAACCGAACAGGGCCGTGGCTTTAGAGGCAACTGGTCTCAATCTTCTCGTATAGAAGGACGGACGTGCAGCAAAGTATTTGAGATGCATTGAGAATCCCTCAAACCCCTAACCAAACCGGTAGCCAGGTTCTGGTAAATTGCTTTGAAGCACTGTTCAGGCACGTAGTCGGATCGGGTTCCCGCAGAACGGCATTGAAGTACACAGAGAAGTTCACATGCATCGAAGAGACTGTTTTACGTCTTCAGGTTATTTGGAATCATTACTGAACAGTAGGATTCTGGCCCCATATGAAGTATTTCGATTGATGGTCCAAAAATCTGCCTGAAGTTGCGAAATGTTGTTGCGTATAGATGTGCGGCCGTAAGCAGCGTGTTTACTTTAGGACGCAGGGATCTAAGTAAAGTAATTAATCCTTGTCATTCGGGAGCGCTTACAGAGTACGAGCCGACCCACTCGGGATCTACTTTAGTGCGTTCAGAGTATCCTATCCGCTTACGTTGGAAGACTACGTACAGTACACGCAAAATTCTCTAGGAAGACCCTTCATTGCGTCCTTAACTTGTCTAGCATATAGGAACAACAAGGCTTCCAAGCATGCAAAAGCTTGCAAAAGTCACTGAGCCTGAAAATGGCTCATCAAGCCGGTGCAGCGAGCTCACTTTGCGAGAAAGTTGGTAAACATCAGCCTGAGGGTGTCTGCTTCCCGCTACATAGACACTAACGAGGCAAATGGGACTAGAAGTCATCGCCAATTGTCCGCTGGCTGTCAGGCGATCCGCAGCCATCCATACCGTGATAACCTGTCATGCAGAGGACCGTGTCTTCAGGGGGGTATCAGCGACTATTGGTCACAGCTTAGGAAACCAGGTGGCTATACTCAGCTTCGGAAAATCTAGAAGTAGCTTATTCCCTATCAGGTATCCTATGCTTCTGTATGATTGAGGTCGCGTAGGATCGACTGACGTTGCATCCGTGCCCCTCGGAGTATGCCCAACTCCCATGGAGGCGCGTGAGCAAGGTCAGCCGAGTCTCATTCATAGCTATTGGTGAATGCACACCATCACTGGTCGGCGCAAGGTTAGCCTATTTCTGAATGGAGTGTGGTCTATGACCGGGTCTTCACAGCGACCTAAATTATCTTGTTGAGGATATGTTCTGCGCCAAACTTCGTCATTTCACTCGAGATAAGGCACTATGTCTACAGATGAGGGTCACCTGAGGGGCTTCTATGTTCAACAGTGATTGCGGCATGGCGATTCTGACGGGCTTCCACTATCTCAAACACGAGATGAATCTATGATGGAAAAGTGGGGGAAGCGTCAGCAGCTGAAAAGAAACTTCAATCTACTCTCAATCATTGGGTTGACGACGACATTGATGATAACCTGGGAAGGGCTTGTCAACGCATTTCAGGCCGGCCTTGAGAATGGGGGACCAGCTGGCTTGATCTATGGATTCCTCCTCACATGGGCAGGGGTATTTTCTCAGGCCTTTGTTATGGCCGAGATGGGAGCCATGATTCCTTTAGCTGGAGGACGATACAACTGGGTCTTGGTTCTTGCCCCCGACGCCTACTCTAAGTATCTTAGTTATCTGACCGGCTAGACCAGCGTAATCGGATGGCAGGCGACTACCTGCACTACGCTTTACCTCGCATCAACCATGAAACAGGGACTGCTGATCCAGCACGATTCAAGCTATACGCGGCAACGATGGCACGGGTGCCTCATCGGCTATGCTATCCTTGCAATCTCGCTGTTCATTAAAATGTATCTAGCCCCACTGCTCCCGAAGATCGAAAGCACGGTACTGCTGTTGCATGTGTTCGGTTCTTTCTTTGTTTTTTTTTTTTTTTTTTTTTTTTGACCTTCCGGTGTTCCCCCGACTTTCCTCAAAAAAGAGCGAACTCGCTGGTAATATCAGGGATCCAGAAGATAACTTCCAGCAAGGAGCGTAACCACCAGGACCGACCATTGACAGAAAGAGAGGACGAGCTCCGCAGTCTTTGGGCGGAAATACTGCACACTGCGCCTGAGACTGTCGGCATCCAGCACGACTTTTTCAATAGCGGAGGTGACTCCCTGAAGGCAATGGCTTTGGTGAGCGCAGCCCGCCGGAGGGGCATAAATTTCTCCGTGGCCCAGCTGTATCAACTTCGAAACATTGCGGAGTTGACGAAGCATGCTGGAGAGGAGGCGATTGAGGATCCGCAAGTCCCGTCTTTCTCTTTGACTGGCATCGCAGATGTTAGGCAACTTCGCGCAGTTGCAGCTCAACAGTGTGACGTCGATATCGAGCTCGTTCAAGACATGTTACCGATCCTTGACATGCAAGGCTTTTATCTGAATCGTCAAAGACGCCAACCTTGTAGCTGGCAAGTACCTCTTGCATTTGATCTGCCTTTGGACATTGATATGGGGAGACTTCAGCGAGCATGGGAGGAACGATTAGCGCATCATCCTATCACAAGGACTCGATTCATTGACACGTCCTATGGTACGTTCCAGGTCATACTGAATCATGAAACTATACAATGGAGATCTGAGACAAGTCTCGCTGCGCTTTTGGCAGCGTGGGAAAGCGAGGATATGGGTTTCCGACACAGAACCCACCAGAGCGCCTTGCTAAAAGCAAACGGGCAAACGCCGGGGCGCCTAATGTGGTATGTGAATCATGCTATCGTGGACCAAATCATGAACGAGCATATAGCCCAGGAACTGTCCACCCTGTATGAGGGCCAAACCGTCTCTCTGCCGAAACGAAGGCCATTCAAGAGCGTTGTAAACCACCGCCGATGTAGCAACAGATTGAGGTCGCAGACGTTCTGGCGCTCGCACCTGAAGGGAGCAAAGTATACGACACTGTTCGAAGGCGCCAGAGATACCAAAAGCGTGGCATGTAGCAAAATGACACGCGAAGCCGGTATCAAAATTTCGAAATGGCTCAAGATATCGGAGTATTCGATACCTGTGACAGCTTGGGCCATAGCTTTCGCACGCTTCGCAGGAGTCGAGGACATTCCTTTTTTCATGATCCGTGCGGGTCGTACGTCGACGCTGCCCGGCAGTGAGGATGTGATGGGACCGTTGCTCACAAGGGCCCCTCTGCGAGTCTCTGTCAAACGAGATGCGCCCATCGTTGACTTAGTCCGCCGCGTCAGCTGTGATATTGAGGAATCAGGGAACCACGAGCTCGTGCGGGAAGACGAGTTTCGAAGCGTTTGCGGAGAAGCCGCTGAACACCTTGCGTCTGGGATTTATATCAACTTTGTGCCGCCTTCCTCGGGGTTTACTCTCAGTCCCGATGCGCTTTTCCCTGTCGCAGAGGATGTTAGAGATGGATTAGGATACCAGACTCTGCCCATTTTTTCTTAGCGGTGAGTTGCACTATGGAAGCATCAGGATGGATGTGACATGGGACGAAGAAATTATCCCTCAACAAAGCATTCAGGGCTTGTTGAATGACTTCCAAGAGATACTACTGGACTTAGAGCAGGTAAGTCTAGATATGACTGTGGACAACGTATTGTCAGTCTAGCTCTCATTGCTTCAAATAAAAGATGGTCCTACTTCTTTTGATATGCCATCATGATCGACCCCACGCTCCGCCTCCTCCCAGCACTTCCTAGCGGAACCGGTCTTGCAATCCATTACACTTGCAGGATGAATCAGGAACTTCGCATACCGCCTCTTAGTGTGTTCCAGTCTACTCCGTCAATCTTTTGGCCGTTCCACTTCCTCCGATCTCGTAATACGGACTCTGAACGTCCGGTTGCGATTGCTCGCATGATCAAGGTATCATTCGCACCAGCCAAGTTGCTCCCTTTCCCATCCTCCAGGAAATCCGTGAACCAAGACTCTTCTTCCTCGCTTAGAGGTAGGCCGATCAATTCGACGCCTCTTGTTGCTCTGATTGCTCCGTGCGAACTTGCATGGACGAAGTTTATCAGCTTCTCGAAGAGAACGCGGTGGTTCAGATCGCCTTGCGTCCGGGAGAAGTAGAATGATTCAGTGATGCTGACGCGACAAAGGGTCAGGCAGTAGGTCTCGAGAACTTTCCCCGATGTGATAGCAGGCGAGACGGTTTGGTAGTAGGCAATGGGAAGAGTAGCATCGGGAGCATGCCGACAAAGAGTGTATAGTATTTCTTCAGGAAATGTAGGGACCAGCGCAGGCTCTGTGAGATAGTCTAAAGCTTTCTTTGTGGAATCTAGTCAGCGGTGTCACCATCAAGAGAGTCATGAGTGACTACCTCAAATTCTAATCGGTCCAGATACCATATACCATCGATGAACGTTCTGTATTTTCCCGGCAGATACGACGAGTTGGCAAAGTCTCTGGGAGACTGATGGCTGTATTTGTGAAGGTCCTTAAGCAGATAGTACAACGCGGAGTGCTTGTGGTGGTCAGGAGAAGAGCTGCTGATGATCTGTTCATGAAGAAGTCTGAGGTCCTCGTGGGATTCTGCTGGATAGGATCTTGAGACTAAACGCGTAAAACCATAAGCAAGGCCGATAGCCTTGAACATGATCTGATCCTGATGTAGGACGTACCCTTCTGAACTCCCAAGGCCTTCAAGAGCCGGTCGATGAACAGCTCATTCTCCAAAGAGCGACGTCTCTGTTTGATGTCATCGGCCACTGGCTTCTCATATGCGATGTTGGAATTGTTCCCAAACACGACCTCGAAGTCATCGGAGTCGTCCATGACTTTTTGGAAGTGTGTTTACGAGAGCAATCTTTATCGACTTCGAGCTGGTGAAGGTGAAGCAACGTCAGTGGTATCTCCGAAGTTTATAACCGATAAGGCTGACGGGTAAACAAACAAATCGCGACTCTGAAGATTGTGACATCTCATCTACAAAGCTGAAAGCAGAAAACGTCAATGGCTACCATATCGCCAACAAGGCCATCGCGGCGGGCGGCCTCGCGCAGCAAAGTGGTTGTTGAAGAGTCGGACGATGAGAATATGGGGGGCATGAGCGAAGAGGAGGACGATGGGGAGGATTTTACGCCAGCACCACTGCGCAGTCCCAAGCGTCAGACAAGACGCAAAACTACAGAAGTGCCTTCAATTCCGCGCACTGCAGCTCGTACTCGGAGAACACGAACCGGTGAAAGCGTTGAGCCTTCAGAGATTTTCGACCCAGAGGAATCAATTAAGCCAGAGCCAGTATCTCCTACGAAGAAAGCATCCCCAAGGAAGCGCAAAAGCGCTGCGCCTACTAAAAGAGTCCGCTCATCAGTCGCTGGAGACGCAGTTCCACCAATGCCCACCCCAAAGCCTTCCACATCACCAGAACCATCTCAATTACATGGCACTCCATTGGCCGACATTACCGATACCCTCAACGAGCAAGCACCAACAGCAAATAATCGGAAAGAGATTCTGGGCGTTAAGGCATTGGATACGATATTGGAGAAGCCAATGGATATCGTCGTAAGATCAAGAGCTTTGGCGGTGCCTCAACAACCAGAGAATGCTGGCCCCAAACCGCGAACAGTCATCCAGTATTTGGTTCTCAAGAACTTCAAGAGTTATGCTGGTAGACAAGAAGTTGGACCTTTCCATGCCTCATTTTCTTCTGTTGTAGGGCCGAACGGATCTGGAAAGTCGAACGTGATCGACTCCTTGCTGTTTGTCTTCGGCTTCCGAGCAAGCAAGATGAGACAAGGCAAGATATCTGCCCTGATCCACAACTCGGCAGCATTTCCCGATCTAGATCACTGTGAAGTCGAAGTGCATTTCCAGGAAGTCATAGATCTTGTACGTTCTGATTCAATTTCTGATCGGACAATAACTAACGTTTCGTAGCCAGATGGAAAGCATGAAGTCCTTCCAGATTCCACCCTGATTATCTCTCGAAGGGCCTTCAAGAACAACTCCAGCAAGTACTATATCAATATGCAGGAGTCCAATTTCACGACAGTAACAACACTTCTGAAGGAGCGAGGCGTTGACCTTGACCACAAAAGGTTTCTCATCCTGCAGGGAGAAGTTGAATCTATTGCGCAGATGAAGCCCAAAGCTGCCAACGAACATGACGACGGCTTGCTTGAATACCTGGAAGATATCATTGGCACCTCAAAATACAAGTCTCCCATCGAAGAGTCTGCGACGGAGGTAGAAACGCTCAACGAGGTCTGTACGGAGAAGAATGCTCGTGTCCAGCACGTTGAAAAGGAGAAGAACAGTCTCGAAGACAAAAAGAACAAGGCTTTGGCTTATATTCGAGATGAAAACGAGCTTGCCTCAAAACAATCTGCCTTGTATCAAGTCTACATTGACGAATGTGGAGACAATCTCAAGGTAACAGACGAAGCCATTGGGCAAATGCAGGGCCAACTCAACGCAGAGCTCGAAAAACATCAGGGCAACGAGGATGGCATCAAGAGCATCGGGAAAGCTTACAAGCATGGTGCCAAGGAGTACGAGGCTTTGCAGAAAGCGACCCAAGCCATCATCAAGGAGATGGCCAAATATGACAAGGAGCACGTGAAGTATGAGGAGAAGAAGAAGTTTCTAACAAATAAACAAACCAAGCTCGAAAAAGCGCTGCAGTCAAACCGACTTTCAGGTTCTGAAGCGAATAGCCTAGCACAGAAGCACTCAGACGATATCGAGCGCAATACGAAAGAAATCGCTGCGTTAGAAAGGAGTATGCGTGAAGAAGAGGAGGAGCTAGCCGCAATTCGAGACGCTCTGAAAGGAAAGACTCAGGCATTCTCCGACCGAATAGCCGCCAAGCAAAAGTCATTGGAACCGTGGAACGGGAAGATCAACGAAAAGCAATCAGCCATTGCCGTCACCCAGAGCGAGCTCGAAATCTTGCGTGAAAGAGCCTCGGCAGGGGCCGTCGCGCTTGAAGAGGCTCAAGGAAGGATCAATTCCCTCGATGAAAGCCGCAAGACGAAGGAAGGCGAGATCAAGGAATTAAAGGCTCAGAAAGTGCAGGTGGAGAAGGAGGCTGGCAAAATCCAAGGCGAGCTTACCAAACTAATGCAAACGGAACCTGAGATGAGATCACAGCTGTCCGGGGCCCGACAGAAAGCGGACGAAGCCAGAGCCAGTTTGTCAAGCACCCAAAGCCAAGGCAACGTACTCAGTGGCTTGATGCGACTGAAGGAGTCAGGACGAATAGAAGGTTTCCATGGACGACTCGGGAACCTAGGCACAATCGACCAGAAATACGACGTAGCCATATCAACAGCCTGTCCATCGCTGGAGAATCTCGTCGTGGACTCGGTTGAGGTGGGCCAGCAGTGCATTGATTACCTGCGCAAGAATAACCTGGGAAGAGCTAATATCATCTTGCTGGATCGTCTGGCAAAAAGAGATTTGTCCGCAATCGACACGCCCGAAGGTGTACCAAGGCTGTTTGATCTTGTGAAGACGAAGAACGAAATATTTCGTCCTGCTTTCTTCAGCGTTCTACAAAATACTCTGGTGGCGAAAGACCTCGAGCAAGCAAATCGTATTGCCTATGGCGCTCGAAGATGGAGGGTGGTTACCTTAGATGGGCAACTGATCGACGTCTCCGGAACGATGAGTGGTGGTGGGACTCGTGTTGCCAGAGGTGGCATGTCATCCAAGCTTGTTGCGGAAACCTCAAAAGAGCAAGTGTCGAAGCTGGAAGTTGACCGTGACCAGCTAGAGCAAGATATCCAGAAGCACCAAGATAAGCAAAGAGAGCTCGAGACTTCTCTGAAACAGCTCAATGATCAGATCCCTCAATTGGAGACGGCAATCCAGAAGACTGGCTTGGAATCCGAGAGCCTAAAACGAAACCTTGCAGACGCTCAGCGCCGAGTAAGTGAACTAACGGCAGCACAGCCAACGACTAGTTCCGACGATGCTCGTATCAATATTTTGGAGAAGCAGATCTCGAAGCTTGAAAAGGATGTCGAGAAGCTACGTGCAGAAACGGCTGGTCTCGAACAAGAGATTCAGGAACTTCAAGACAAAATCATGGAAGTTGGTGGTGTGAGGCTCAGAGGGCAGAAAGCCAAGGTCGATGGCCTGAAAGAGCAGATCGAGACTCTCACGGAAGAGATGTCCAATGCGGAAGTCGCCAAGTCAAAAGCTGAGAAGCAAAAGATTAAGCACCGTAAATCATACGAGGATGCTGAGAATGAGCTCGCTGCCGCCGCCGAAGAGCTCGAAAACCTAGTCAATGAGGTCAAGACACAGGACAATGACGCTTCCGCCTCCAAGCGCAAGGCGGAAGAAGCACAAGAGGCGCTAAGCGCGAAGCAGGAGGAGCTTGCTGCTTTGAAGCGGGAGCTGGATGACAAGACTGCCGAACTGAACGAGACTCGCGCTGTCGAGATCGAAATGCGCAACAAGCTCGAAGAGAATCAGAAGGTCCAGTCCGAGAACCAGAAACGACTAAAGTACTGGAATGAGAAGCTCAGCAAACTGAGTATCCAAAGCGTCAGTGACCTCGGAGAAGAACAAGCAGCAGAAGAACTACCTCAGTACACCAAAGATGAGCTCGAGGATATGGACAAGGACACCCTGAAGGGTGAGATCGCAATTCTCGAGGAGAAAACCCAAAACGTCAACGTCGAGCTTGGCGTGCTGGCTGAGTACCGCCGCCGCGTCGAAGAACACACCTTACGCAGCAATGACTTGCAATCTGCCGTGACGCAACGAGATACTGCAAAGAAGCGTTGCGATGACCTTCGCAAGCTCCGTCTCGAGGGTTTCATGACCGGTTTCAGTCTAATTTCTCTGCGGTTGAAGGAAATGTATCAGATGATTACAATGGGCGGAAATGCTGAGTTGGAGCTTGTCGATTCGCTTGACCCTTTCTCCGAAGGTATTCTTTTCAGCGTAATGCCGCCGAAGAAATCGTGGAAGAACATCTCGAACCTTTCGGGTGGTGAAAAAACGCTGAGTAGTCTGGCTCTGGTGTTTGCTCTGCATCACTACAAGCCAACTCCGCTCTATGTGATGGACGAGATTGATGCTGCGTTGGATTTTCGGAATGTCTCTATTGTTGCCAGCTACATCAAGGAGCGAACAAAGAATGCACAATTTATCGTCATCTCTTTGAGGAATAATATGTTTGAGTTGGCTTCTCGGCTGGTGGGCGTGTACAAAGTCAACCATATGGTAAGTCCATCTCTAGTGATGGAATAAGGCAGCTACTAACATTCAACAGACTAAGAGCGTAACAGTAGAAAACAGAGACTACATTAACGGCAGAGCTTAGGCACATGTCCTTGTTGTCTGGACTGGCGTTGGCGGTGATGTTTGGCCTTACTCCCAGATATGTAATGAAGTGAATGGGGTTTGGGGCTTCGGCCTACTGCGAGGATCAAGCAGCGGCGTCTGGCGTGGAAGAGTATGCATTGTGTACATAATCTATATCTCGAAACAATGTCAATGACTTCTCCCTACCGAGCATCAACTTTGCCAATCTTCGTTCCATAAAGCTCAAGCTGCCAAATTTTGTACTATACCCCCCACATCCCCGTGTCTTCTCAAGGACCTATTCCAAGTATTTCTGCACTCCTGGCTTGTGAGATTTTGTTCTCGTGCGGGCCACCCTTCGCTTCTGTGCTGGATGCTCGCTTATTGGCTAGTAGTAGACCGTCTAGATCGCCTTCTTGCTTCTCACCCCTTCTTTTCCTCTTTCACCTTCGTCTCTTCCTTCACTTTCTGTCCCTCCCCCGGACCCGCACCTTTCTTCTTGGCCTTCCCCTTCTTCCTCCCACTCCGATCCCTCTTCTTCAATCCGCTCATCCCCGCCTTCCAGACCTCCGCATACTTTACGAAAAACCCTTCCAATTCATCTGCTTGCACCACGGTGCTGATTTTGATTTTGTCCTTCTTCTTCTCCTTCGACTTGCCGTTCGTTGCTCGTATCAGGACTGGAAGAGGATGCGGGGGGTGCAGGTCCGGGAAGGGCGACGAGGGTGGGAGGGGATTGTCTGTTGCGCCAGATGGGATATCTGGAGGTGACACTGGGACATCACATCAGCGGATTTCAGAAAAGGAGATCGAGAGCGAAATTGAAATCATACGGCGTTTTTGGGTGAGGAAGACGGAGCCGTGGGCGGCGACACGGGGGGATTCGAAGAGGGAGGTAAGGCGGGTTAGGAACTGGACTATTAGCAGTGCACTTCCTCCATTTAGGTGGAGTTGCAGGTACCTCGTCGATGCTGAGATGTCCAGAAGCCATGTTTGCGCAAGGCAATATCTCGTGATTTGCCGATTGTGGGGTAAACGGGTTTCTGACGGGGATGTGTTAGGGTGTGCACAAATGTGCACGCCCTAATGATATTAGCGTGCAAAAACGTTGGAATACTTGGCACGAGATTCCACACACCCCACCAAAAGTAGTACTGAGTAGATGAATCTTCTCCCATATCGCATCTACCACCTTTCTTATCATATTTAAAGCTCCTATATATCTCGCTTAGCTAATTTCTATTATTTCGAAATACCCCTTATAATAATCGATAGAAGAGGCTTATCTCTATCTATTCGGTTTAGAATTATTTATTTACTACTTCTATACTAGAGATCTAATACTATTATCTAGAATATCTACTACTATATATAGATAAAAATTTAAAAAAGTCTCTTTATATATAGCTTAGTCTATAAGCTATAGTTTCGTCTTAAAGATATCTCTTATAAGCTTTACTTAGCTATCGAAGACTTCTTTATTAAATATCTCGAAGATTAGTTATAAGCTATATAGAAAGAGATAGTCTAGTTTCTTTAGAAGAAGTAAGATTTATTTATATATCGATTTATAATATTAAGAATTTTTAAGAGAAAGCGCTTAAATAAGAAGATTAATTAAAGAGTCGAATATCGATAGAATAAGGAGCTTCGCCTATACTAGATTATAAAGCTTCTTTATATAATCGTAGAGTAGCTAGTCTTTATAGATGAGACTCTATTTAATAAGTTTATAGGCTAACGATATAGAGTCTATATAATACTTCTATCGATTAGAATAATCGATATTATATAAATTTAAGAAGAGGGCGTTTCTAGAGTATACTTTCGACGTATATAGTAAATAAATATCTATTCTATATTAAATTTAAGAAGAAATAATTTAATATTAAGGCCTTCTTTCGATAGCTAGTCAACGAGTTACTATCTTACTACGATATCTTCTTAATTTATAATAGTATTATTATTATAAATAATATTAATATATATTATAATTCTTATATCGAGAAGGTAATTCGTTAATATAATTGCGAGGTTCGATATTTATCTCTCTATTTATTAGATTTTAATTCTATCGAGCTCTCTTTCAGCGTCTTAAAGATATAGGTTCGAAGATACTTTTACGAGATATAGTCTTAGTTTTAAAAGAACTTTAATAACTTTTTATAATATATCGTAAGAAGAAGTCGATACGATTGCTTTTCGAGAAAGTATTTTAAGTATAATACTATAGAAGACTATATCTTTAAGATAAATATAAGAAAATTAAATAGAACTCTTAATAAATATAATATTCAGATAGATTTTAAAGACTAAACTATATTTACTACTACTACTATTACTCTAGAGTTATTAAGACCTTCGTCTACTATTATTAAAATTTAAATATCTTTAAGTCTATTTTAAAACCTCTAATTAAAGTATTAAAAACCTCTAATTATATAATAATACGATATATAATAGATATAGAATTTTTTATTACTTTCAGATACTTATATCGATTAAAAGATATTTTAAAATATTAAGATAAAAATCAAAAATCGGCTAAGCGAGATATATAGGAGCTTTCAAATATAATAAGAAAGGTAATAGAATACGATATGGAGAAGATATCTACTCAGTACTACTTTTGTGGGGTGTGTGAGAATCAGTGCCAAGTATTCCAACGTTTGCACACGCTGATATACCTGATATCTTACGCTAGTGGTAAGATTCAGAATCTTCAACTCGAAACTTGATGTGCATGTGTACTAGCCGCAGAAATGGGAAAACACGGCGTCATATGTGCCTGCTGCTCAAGAAGACCTACATTGCATAAATCGAGCCACGCCATGCTCTGATCGATACCTATCATTTTAGAAGATGGGCTTACCAGGCTCTGCCACTAAGGTTCCCTTAAGCATCCTTGTTCTTATACGATCCTGTTCAAGCGTGATTGCCTCTTGTTCCAAGATGTTGTCCGGAGTCGTTGTTTCTACTTTTAAGGACTTCTGTCAGTGTATCTGCTTGATGGGAAGGATCTACTATGTAAAAGAAGGAGAAACATGTGCTTGCTATTCTCTACTTCCCTCTGCCAAACAACACACTCTCTTTGCACGAAATCAAGTCTACACGTGGCAGCACAGTCTCTTGCCTCCATTTTCGTTTAGCATCTGTCTTTCGCCATGAGTCTCCTTATGTCGCTCGCTCTAGCCTTCCTTGCTATGGCTTCGCAAGGGACTGGGCAATTCACGGTCGAGCCACAACCCTATTGTCACCCCGTAGCTGGGAATTTTAGCAACAACGCAGACTACTGGCTGCATGCAACGCCGGTGCTACGAGCTCACTGGTGCTTCGACTACGCCCCACTTGTCCGTCGACAATATACGGATTATTGGATCGGTTGGAAAAACATCAGCTTTCTATTTGCATTGTACCTCCCACCCCAAGAAGCCTAATCAATCTGACCTAACGCCATAACAGCGGTGACTCCTACACGAGCACAAGTTTCAACATCGCAGGGAAACAACCCAGTCTCAGCAACCCATTGGGCAATCCTTCATATCCTGGCTCTACCTCCGCCGATGGTCCTAACTACATTGACTTCTTGACAACCACTTATAATGAGAGCTACATCCAGGCTTATAATCTAGGCTACGGTGGAGCCACGATCGACGACTCGATCGTCATGTCAGGCTTTGGAACTTCAGTGCATAGCTTTCAAGACCAGGTTGAAAACGAATTTCTGCACACCTACGTCAACAACAGCAAAGTCCCATGGACCGCCTCCAATAGCTTGTTCACCATATTCTTCGGTGTCAACGACGTGACGAACTCTTTCGCTCCTTTTGCGTCACACAACGACTCTGTGAACTACGAGCTCGTCAAGGCATATGAAAGCCTCGTCGACAAGGTTGGTCTCCCTTCTTTCTATCAGGATAATAAGCTAACAGTAACATCAGCTGTACGCTGCCGGAGCGCGCAACTTCCTTTTCATGAACGTTCCTCCCGTCGATCGTTCACCGGGAACGCTCGAGATGGGCTCTGTTGATCAATCTGCCGAGGCCAGCTTCATCGGAGCGTTCAATTTTCGACTTGGTGCCCTTGTTTACAACCTAGCTCTACGCCATGCAGACACGACGTTGTTCACATTCGACACAAACTTCCTCTTCACTAGAGTTCTGGACGACCCGATGCAATTTGGAGAGACGGCCGGATACTTGAATACAACGAATTACTGCGCGACTTACGAGAAGTAAGCCCCTTTCTGGCAAAACGGAGGAACCTGCTTTTAAGCTGACTAGCTCTCCAGTGGCACGTCATCCTTGACATCCTTGGATCCATCATGCGGTATAGCTGTCGATCAGTACTTTTGGCTGAATAGTCTCCACCCAACCTATCCAATGCATAATTTCATGGGCTCTCAGATTGCGAAGATCCTTTCAGGTTGAGATTTGTACTTCATTCTGTACTTCATTCAGGTCAAGGCACCTAATTCTAGAAATTGAATAGAATATCGGCATGCTTCTGAAGGAGTTCGCTAGCAGCAGGGATTGAATATTTTGGCATCTTTGAGTGGAATGGATTACATGGTATAGTTCAAAGGAGGGATGGTACGAGAACATTATCAAAGCTTGCATGCCCATTAGCAATCAATGTTGTTTGGCAACGATATACTCTTAGTGACTGTAATATTTCCGCACTAGCTGCTTTTAGCGGTCAGACCACGCGAGCAAGCGGAACAACCAACTTCATTCATTCAATCTGCATTGGCTCTCACGACAACTATTGGAACTCTCAATGTCAAACTTCGACCCCAATGCTATCCTACGCGGTGCTCAGTTGACTGTAGTTGGGGGTTCGCAATCCAACAACCCCAAATCAGCGCTGAAAGCTGAAAAAGATACCAGCATACCGCGCTCTACAAAACCCTGGCCTCTTCAAATATGAGCACTACAGACAGGCAGCAATTGCTGTCTGTGCGGGCATCGCCATCAGAATTCTTGTTGCAGTTCCTGTGGGTTGTCTACGCTCCCAGAATTGAAAGTGGTGCTGATTGGCGACTGCTCCTGCAGATAATCACGGTCAAGGTATCACTATGGGCCCTCGGCTTCTTCATCAACTTCGATAGCGTGACATGGGATGACAAATTGGTGGGTGGGATGGATTTCCTGGCGAATTCCGTCCTGCAGGTCCCGTTCTTCCTCATGAGCTTGATGCGGTATATCACACCGACTTTGGACCGCATGTGAGGACCCTACATTTTAGCTGCCCCCGCTGGCCCAGCACTGATCAGCGCAGGTTCATGGACTCGTTGCAATGGGTCGACCAGACATACTACGCAAAGCACAAGTCAGAGGATCCGAAGACGCTCCGCGCGACATACTTTGCAGAACTGCGGATGTATTCAGCACATGGCGATACGAGCAAGCACAGAGCTCCAATGGACGCGGCGTTGGCTTTTCTCATTCGGTTCGGCCGAAGAGCTGGCATATCACTAGCTATATATGCGCTGTCATATCTGCCCATCGTTGGACGATTTGTTCTTCCAGCGGCCAGCTTCTATACCTTCAATAATGCCGTGGGGCCCATTCCAGCTACTATCATATTCGGCAGCGGTATCTTCCTGCCTAGAAGATATCTCATTGTGTTCTTGCAGAGCTACTTCTCGTCAAGAAGTTTGATGAGAGAATTGGTGCGTCCTCAAATACCAAAAGCCTTAACATTCCGCTGCAGGCTAGTTGGCTGACTTTTTTACAGCTCGAACCCTACTTTTCCCGAATTCGTTTCACGAAGGAGCAAAAGAAGCATTGGTTCCACGACCGCGAGGGCGTGCTGTTCGGATTCGGTGTTGGCTTCTACATCTTCCTCAAGATACCGCTCCTAGGTGTCTTGATCTACGGCATCGCAGAAGCATCGACAGCATATCTGATCACGAAGATTACGGACCCTCCACCATCTCCGGCGTATAGCGACAAATTCGCGGAAAGCCAGGTCAAGTGGAAGAACAAGCAGAAATTCCTGGAGCTTCCGTTGCACAATCTGGATGCGAACAACGCTGATACGGTAGGGAAGGAACCGATCGAGGCCTTTGATTCTCCTGGCAAGAAATTCTCCTAGATTTTGGGAGGAGATACAGACAGGGAATTTAGTACAACGATTCAGACAGCTCATTCCGGATTCAAGTGAGATCCCCGACTGCATTTGAATTTCACCAGCGCAAAGTGCCCCCCACGCGTACTTTCAGCACATTTTCATGCCTCATTTGCACCTATACCGATAGTTCAAAATTTGCATTCATTGTATTGTCTTTTCGTTAGTCAATTGCATCGCGATCTCTTTAGGAAGCTCGGAGGCGTCCACGTACGCCTTAAATTGACTTGGTCGAGCTTCTAAAGTACCGATAAGCGGCATATGTTTCAATTCCTTATCAGCAATCGGAAAAATGCATGTCTTCATTATCTTGCAGATCGAAAGCCTGGAGCTTGGCCCAGATATGCTTAATTCGCGGGGTCAGGCTCTAGTCAATTGACTTCCATTGCCCCGCCATCATGGCCCCACGGCCTATACTCGCAGCAGCTTGACACACGGTACTTGCTTTCTCTCTCCTCCCTTTCCTAATAGTCCGACTTCCAGTTGACAGTCTCAGTCTCAGTCTCATTTTAAAACCTCGAACGGGCTTTTCTCAATTCGAAGTTGTCTTTCTAGCGACATGGGTCTCACGGAGATACGGACCGCCGTCAAGGTCGATTTGAAGAAGCCAGCGGATCAGCAGCCCGTACTTCATGTACGTCGAGCTGTTCCATCATTTATCACGCCTGCGCTGACCTTCCTCAGAATAGATGGCATCCAGACGGCACGACCTCCCTTCCACAATCCATCCTAAATGCCCCTAACCTCTTCTACAGTTCCCTTCACGGCCAAAGTTAAAGATGGGGAGGTCTTCAAGGTGGAGTGTGTCGACTGGACAGGAGGACAGATTGGCAACAATGACAGCGCGGACGATGTGAAGAACATCGACCTCACCAAGATTCACTACTTGTCTGGCCCGTTCGAGGTGGAAGGTGCCGAACCTGGAGATGTCCTCGTGGTGGAGATCCAAGATGTGCAGCCATTTCAAGAACAGCCTTGGGGTTTTACGGGCGTATTTGACAAGGACAACGGGGGAGGCTTCCTTGACGAGCTTTACCCTAACGCGCAGGTCTCCCCTATCAAGATCTATTCCTTCGCAACTAGCTACTGACATCTTGTTGTTTACCAGCGCCAAAGCCATCTGGGACTTCGAAGGCATCTTCTGCTCCTCTCGCCATATCCCGCATCTCCGATTCCCTGGTCAGATTCACCCGGGCATCCTCGGCTGTGCTCCCTCCGCCGAGATCCTCGCTGAGTGGAACCGCCGCGAAGCCCACCTGATCAGCACCACCGAGCTCAAACGCATCGTCGCGCTGCCCCCTCAACCCCAGAACGTCCACGCGGGCTCCGCATCCGACGAGGTTAAAGAAAAAGTAGGCAAAGAGGGCGCGAGGACTATACCCGGCCGCCCCGAGCATGGTGGCAACTGCGATATCAAGAACCTGGGCCGCGGCAGCAAAGTCTTCCTCCCGATCCACGTCCCCGGGGCAAAATTCAGTATTGGCGATCTACACTTCAGCCAAGGCGACGGCGAAATTTCTTTCTGCGGCGCGATTGAGATGGCAGGGGTCATCACGCTGAAACTGTCCGTGATGCAGAGCGGCATGAAGGATCTGGACATGAAGAGCCCTCTTTTCCTGCCGGGACCCGTGGAGCCCCATTACGGGCCGAGCAAGTATCTGACCTTTGAGGGATTCAGCGTCGACGATAAGGGAGTGCAGCACTACATGGACGCCACCGTCGCGTACCGGCAGGCGACCCTGAGGTGCATCGAGTACCTGAGACGATATGGTGAGTCCACGCACGCGGCATATGGCGTGATGTGAACGGTCTGACTGACTTTTGGTAGGCTACTCCGACTACCAGGTCTACCTCATGTTGAGCTGCGCGCCGATTCAGGGACACGTGGCCGGCTTGGTGGATATCCCGAACGCGTGCATGACGCTAGGGGTGCCGATGGATATCTTCGATTTCGACATCTCGCCTACGGGCCCTGTGGAGAAGATGGAGATGGGGGCTTGTGCCGTTGCGAACAAGTGAAGATGGGTTGGGCGATCGTTGTAGAGCGGTGCAGTAAGGAAAGAGGAACGGGTGCCGATGTATGGTAGATTGATTGGGATTGGGATTGGGATTGGGATTGGGCCCCGTTTACGAGTGTGGCGATGGGCTTGGAACGGTTTTGCAGGCGCGAGGTTTATGGGTGCTTTACCTCAAAACACACAAACATTTGGCTTTTCCAACGCTTCGCTTTGAGAAACATCTTGACCAAGCGACCCTTGTTCCGTCCCGGACGACGATTCCTATCCCATCAACCCACCCCTTGCCATCTTCCTCGCGCGCTGATCCCGCCGGTTGTGATTAGCTCGCGACCCTTTGTTCGCATCCTTCCGCTGTCTCGCCGCCTGCGTATCTTGATCATCCGACGGCCCCGCCACGCTCGCCCCCCCACGGCCCCTTCCCCTCCCCCCCCTCCCACCCCTCCCACCGCCGCCCCCGTCACCATCCCCCGTCCCGTCAGCCGTCCAAGACGACCGTCCCAACTGCGTTCGCCCGGCCGCACCTCCGCCCTCCTCGTACTTCCGCTCCAACCTCTGAAGCCGCCTCGGATCCCGGCCGGCCATGATGCCCCACCCCTCGATCGCTTCGTCCGTCATGCCCGTCTCGCTCTTCAGCGCGGCGCGGTGCTCCCCCCTCCGCGCGTCGGCGTCGCGACGGAAGGCCTCGGGCTTCGTCCGGTAGGCGTGGAACAAGGCCTCCTCGTGCGCCTCCTCGCGACGCCCGCCGGCGGCGTCGTCGTCGTCGGCGGTGGTGGCGTCGACGGTGCCGCCGACGTCGCCGACGTCGTACGTGTCGTCGCGCTCGTCGTCGTCGGAGTCGAAGGCGGCGAGCGCGGCGAGGATGGCGGCTTTTTGACCCGTGGGGCGCGGGGCGGAGAGGAGGTGGTCGGCCGTCAGGTCGGCGTTTCGGCGGCCCCGGGCGAGGAGGGAGGCGTCGATGGCGAGGCGGTCGAAGGGGTCGGAGTCGTGGATGTTGCGTCGGATCGGGGGGGGCGGCGGGGTCGGGTGGTGTTCGAGGCCCGGTGCGAGGTCGTGGGTTTGGGGGGGAGGCCCCTCGGGGAGGAGTTCGGTTCGGTCTCGTGCGTTGAGATGCTGCGGTAGGGTATCGTCGAGGAGATGAGCGGTGACTTGTTCAGTGTCGTCGTCGTATTCGTCGAGGAGCTTGACGACGAATGCCGAACCCAGATCGGGGAAGAGATCCTGGACTTGGGCCACGAGGCTTAGTTTGTGGACATGGATCCCGCCCGTTGAGTCGTGGCCGTACCGGTCGCGATCTTTCCGTTTGCCTTTGTCGATCTTCCTCCTGACGGGCTTCTTGGGCCGGCCGTCAGGCGACTTCTCGAAAGCTTTCAGTGAGTCGATGAGGGATTTCGCCCTCGTAGCCTCTGGGCCTGCGATCCGAGTCCGGATTTTCTGCAGGAGGGGCGTAGATCCGACCACTGCTTTGAGCAGGGAGTCATCGCTTGATGTGGCCTTCAGACCGTACATGTGATCCAGTAGGGTAGATGTTCGAGGTCGGTCGGGCTCCATGAGGCTCAAAAGACAGAAGTATGTTACGACTACGATCTTGTGTTTCGGAATCTTGGCTTTTGAGGTCTGGTACGCGGTCGAAAGGGCATCGATGAGATCGGCCCCGAGCATCAAGAATTGACCGTAGTGGTAGCACGTTCTCAACAAAGCCACCACTAAGGCTAGAAGCTCCTCTGAGTCGCCGCTCGTAAGGTTCTGTTCCAGTTCTAGGATCAAATTGGCTTTATGGGTGCGCATGGAAGGCCGCTCGTCCAAGGCTTCTTGCCTCCATATGTCGACAAGCAACTTCGGCAAGACCGTGCTCTTCGCGTAGACACGGCTCACATCTGCGAGAAATGCCCACTCCAGCAAGAATTGAGAAGTAGGCTTCATTTCACTCAGCGCTCGGTGAATGAGCAGGAAGCATTTCCTTCTCAAGTCATTCTCCTTTGCATTTGTTGCTTCGGAGGAGTTTTTGGCATAGGAAATGAGAAATTGAACGAGAGAAGAATTCTTTGTGACTTTGAGGCTGAACACTTTCGCGGACATAAGAAGATGATTCTGGGCCAAAAGAAGCCACGAATCCAGACATATCTGCCACTCTTCTGGCATGATGCTCTTCCGCAGGCTCGCAGGTGGAAAAGATAGCCATGGTATATCCATATCGATGGACCGCTCGTTCAGATGAGCTGGAACGAGTGCAATAATATTGAACTGTCCTTGGCACACAAGATGACTTGGTCTAGAGAAAACAGAGCGGTGATATGTTTGATATACTGTTGAGATGTCTGCAAAAGTTGTGACGGTGATTCAAAGAACGCCTCGTAGGGCTGCATCGTATTCGCGAGAAAAGCTGTCCCACTGGTTCCGAATGGATTAGTCAGCCGAATGATTTAGCATACATAACTTCCATTAACATACTCGTAAAAAGATATAAGATAAGTTTACGAACTACTACTAAAAGAAGTAACTATTTTAATTAAATTAAATTTATAAAATTTATATAATTACGAACGCGTTTATTCTTTTAAATATTATAACTTTAAATTTATAAATTAAATTTATAAATACTAGTCGAAAAGATATAATATAATATAATATATTAATCTATTATATTATACTCTAACGAGTAAAAATTTATAAATTAAATTTTTAATTTTTTTTTAATTAGGACTATTAAGTAAGTAGATAAGCGAACTTTAATAAGCGATATTTAAATTCCTTACGCTTTAATAATTATAAGACTAAATTAAATTTTTTTTTATCTAAAAGTTTATATTTTATTCTATAGTTTAAAAAAATAATTTTAAAATTTTAATAGAAAATAGTAAAGTTATTAAAGAATTAAAAGTAAAGTAAGAGATTTTAATAGTTATAGACGCTAATTTATTTATCTATAATAAGTTAGTCGATCTAATTAAAGAGCGTAATAACTCTCGAATTTATAATTAACTATATATATAAATTTAATATTTTTTAAATTAACTCTATCTTATTCTTATATATATATTAATAAGATATAAGATATAATTATTTATATTCTTTTATATTTAATACGATATAAAAGCTTAGTAATATATATTATAAAATAATATATTTATAATATTATATTATAAAATAGTATATATATAAAATACTTCGATTAGAATTTCTATATTTAGAAGTATAAGTAGCTATTTTAATTATTATTCTAGTTAACGATCTTTTTTTTTTTTTTTTTTTTAAAATATAAAAAAAAATAAAAAAAAAAAAAATTTATTATTTATTATTAAAAATTTTTTTTTTTTTTTTTTTTTTTTTAAAAAAAAATTTTTTTTTTAAAAAATAAAATAAAAAAAAAAAAAAAAATAGAATTTAATTAAAAAATTTTAAATTTTTTTTTTTTAATATATATAAAAAAAAAAGATGGGGCTGAGCTATAAAACCTTGAATTTGTATGTGCAGCCAATTATAAATTTAGAGTTACTACGCTCTTTAGTTAGACCAGCTAAGTTAGCCCGCTAGCCCTCCCGAGCTCTCTTATTAAAAATTTATATATAGAAGTTTTACACTCTAAAATAACCAGCTCCCTACGGATACTATTTCTTTATAATTTTCTAAATTATAGAACTTAGTGTGCGCTTTCTAACGCTGTAAAAATAATAAAGTTTGGCCTACTATTAGTAGATTAAATTAATATTCAAATATCGTAGTCATGGTAGTCACACCAGACGCGTCCGGGATCGGATAATAATCCTTCCACCTATTTGTTATTCTTCCATTATTCTACCAATTCTACCAATTCTACCAATTCTACCAATTCCACCAATATAAATATAATCGTCTTCGATATCCCTCGCCCAATTAGAGCCCCTTACTAACGCCCCTAGGCTACCCCTCGACGAATCCGCTACTACTAGCAATCGAGGCCGCAAGCGAGCCTAACAGCTATCTACTACTACTCATAAACGCGTTAAAAGACCCTCAAAAAGAGCCCGAACGGATACATCCTCCCCTATATACTCCTCCCAAGCCAGCGATAGGTGGGTTAAACTAACATTCAAATATTGTAATCATACCAAACGCGTCCGGACGTCATATGCTCTCCACGATTTCACATCAAATCATCACTCAGCAAGCGAAGAACACCACTATAACTTGGCCTATCATCCCCACTACATTAAAGAGTAAGAGGAGGAACTACAACAGGCAAATGCGGAGAATACTACGGAGAAACCAAGCGGCAACAAGGCCACCATCGTCAAGAACACGGCTCAGCTCTCCAAGATCCCACGTCATATACTCTCCACGGTTCCGCATCAAATCATCACTCAGCAAGCGGAGAACACCACTGCAACTTGGCCGTTCCACATCAAATCATTACTCAGCAAGCGGAGAACACCACTGCAACTTGGCCTATCATCCCCACTACATTGAGGAGCAAGAGGAGGAACTACAACAGGCAAATGCGGAGAACACTGCGGAGAAACCAAGCGGCAACAAGGCCACCATCGTCAAGAACACGGCTCAGCTCTCCAAGATCCCACGTCATATGCTCTCCACGGTTCCACATCAAATCATCACTCAGCAAGCGGAGAACACCACTGCAACTTGGCCCACATCAAATATTACTCATCACACCACTGCAACATTGAGGAGCAAGAGGAGGAACTACAACAGGCAAATGCGGAGAACACTACGGAGAAACCAAGCGGCAACAAGGCCACCATCGTCAAGAACACGGCTCAGCTCTCCAAGATCCCACGTCATATCAGTTATCCACTCAGTCAGCCACTCAGCTAGCCACTCAGCTAGCCACTCAGCTAGCCACTCAGCTAGCCACTCAGTCTGATACTCTACAAGAGGAGGAGCAAGAGGAGGAACTACAACAGGCAAATGCGGAGAACACTGCGGAGAAACCAAGCGGCAACAAGGCCCCCAGCACCAAGAACACGGCTCAGCTCTCCAAGATCCCACGTCATATGCTCTCCACGGTTCCATATCAAATCATCACTCAACAAGCGGAGAACACCACTGCAACTTAGCCTATCATCCCCACTACATCAAGAAGTAAGAGGAGGAACTACAACAGGCAAATGCGGAGAACACTGCGGAGAACACTATGGAGAACACTGCGGAGAAACCAAGCGGCAACAAGGCCCCCAGCACCAAGAACACGGCTCAGCTCTCCAAAATCCCACATCATATGCTCTCCACGGTTCTACATCAAATCATCACTCAGCAAGCGGAGAATACCACTGCAACTTGGCCTATCATCCCCACTGCATTGAGGAGCAAGAGGAGGAACTACAACAGGCAAATGCGGAGAACACTGCGGAGAAACTAAGCGGCAACAAGGCCACCATCGTCAAGAACACGGCTCAGCTCTCCAAGATCCCACCTCATATGCTCTCCACGGTTCCACATCAAATCATCACTCCGGAACGATGCATATTTGGACGAATTGAAACCGTCCGATGTCTTGCTCTGACAGCTATTTCATTATTCGAAAGATTTCACTGCGGCAGGAGATAATGTGGGATTCACACCACTAATTGGCATGTTGTCTCCATTTCTTTCCGGTATTTCGATACTTCTTGCCATAAGGACATGGCCTTTCTCTGTTTTTTGTGGGCAATTATTACGGATCAATCCTCCACACTCGATACACCTTCCTAATTAGGCCTTAGCGCGCCTCTCTCCGCACATATATACCTGTATGTAGGTCAAAAACGCACAGCAAGCGATTAGAGTTCGATTTGACTTAGAAAAATCCAACTCCATGAATTTAATTCATGGGCCTTTACTTGTAATTAATTATAAATTTAGAATTACTACGCTCTTTAATTAAATCGACTAAATTAGCCCGCTAGCCCTTCTAAGCTTTTTTATTAAAAATTTATATATAGAAGTTTTATACTTTAAAGTACTTAGTTTACGATATATATAATTACTTTATAATTTCTTAAATTATAAAACTCGCTTTATACTTTCTAACGCTATAAAAATTATAAAGTTTAGTTTACTATTAATAAATTAAATAAATATTTAAATATAATAATTATAATAGTTATATTAAACGTATTCGAGATCGAATAATAATTCTTTTATCTATTTATTATTCTTTTATTATTCTATTAATTCTATTAATTCTATTAATTCTATTAATTTTACTAATATAAATATAATTATCTTCGATATTCTTTATCTAATTAAAGCCTCTTACTAACGCCTCTAGATTATCTCTTAACAAATTCGCTACTACTAGTAATCGAGATCGTAAATAAACTTAATAGCTATTTACTACTACTTATAAACGCGTTAAAAGGTTTTTTAAAAGAGTTTAAACGGATATATCTTTTTCTATATACTTCTCTTAAGCTAGCGATAGATAAATTAAATTAATATTTAAATATTATAGTTATACTAAACGCGTTTAGATATTATATACTCTTTACGATTCTATATTAAATTATTACTTAGTAAGCGAAAAATACTATTATAATTTAATCTATTATCTTTATTATATTAAGAAGTAAGAGAAGAAACTATAATAGATAAATGCGAAGAATACTACGAAGAAATTAAGCGGTAATAAGATTATTATCGTTAAGAATACGACTTAGCTCTTTAAGATTTTATATTATATACTCTCTATAGTTCTATATTAAATTATTACTTAGTAAGCGAAGAATATTACTATAACTTAGTTATTTTATATTAAATTATTATTTAGTAAGCGAAGAATACTACTATAACTTAGTTTATTATCTTTACTATATTAAGAAGTAAGAGAAGAAACTATAATAGATAAATGCGAAGAATATTACGAAGAAACTAAGCGATAATAAGACTATTATCGTCAAGAACACGGCTTAGCTCTTTAAGATCTTACGTTATATTAGTTATTTACTTAGTTAGCTACTTAGCTAGCTACTTAATCTAATACTCTCTCTATAAGAGAAGAAGTAAGAGAAGAAACTATAATAGATAAATACGAAGAATACTACGAAGAAATTAAGCGATAATAAGGCTACTATCGTTAAGAATATAGCTTAGCTCTCTAAGATCCTACGTTATATTAGTTATTTACTTAGTTAGTTACTTAACTAGTTACTTAATCTAATACTCTATAAGAGAAGAAACTATAATAGATAAATATAAAGAATACTACGGAGAAACTAAGCGGTAATAAGATTATTATCGTTAAGAACACGGCTTAGCTCTCTAAGATCCCACGTTATATACTCTCTACGATTCTATATTAAATTATTACTCGATAAGCGAATAATACTACTATAACTTAGCTTATTATTCTTACTATATTAATATAATATATTATTATAATAACGTTATAAGAGAAGAATCTACTACGATAATTATAGCTAATTAAATATCGAACGATATATATTTAAACGAATTGAAATCGTCCGATATCTTACTCTAATAGCTATTTTATTATTCGAAAGATTTTACTACGATAGAAGATAATATAAGATTTACACCACTAATTAATATATTATCTTTATTTCTTTTCGATATTTCGATACTTCTTACTATAAGAATATAGCCTTTCTCTATTTTTTATAGATAATTATTACGAATTAATTCTCTATACTCGATATACCTTTCTAATTAAGTCTTAGCGCGCCTCTCTTCGTATATATATATTTATATATAGATTAAAAATGCATAGCAAGCGATTAGAGTTCGATTTAACTTAGAGCTAAGGCTAGAATTCGATTTAACTTAGAAAAATCCAACTCTATAAATTTAATTTATAGGCCTTTACTTATAATAGTTATAATAAGTTTAAGTCTATAAATTAAATTCATAATCTATTTTTTTAATTAAAACTATTATTAAGAAATAGTTTTTAATATTATATAATATTAATATAATATAAAGTTATTTCATTAATCTATATAGTCTATAGATATATATATACGAAGAGAGGCGCGCTAAGGTCTAATTAGGAAGATATAGTATAGAGAATTAATTCGTAATAATTACTTATAAAAAATAGAGAAAGATTATATTCTTATAATAAGAAGTATTAAAAATATTAAAAAGAAATAGAGATAACGTATTATATCTGCAAATCTGAAAAGTAAATTTCCACACGATTTTCGCCGAGTCCGCATTATAAGTATAATTTAGTTTATTAAGTAGACTTTATCTATATCTAACTCTTTCCGCTAGTTCTACCAGTCTAGTAACTTTAAAAATTTTTAGCAACTTTAAAAATTTTGCGTAATGCACTCTAATATACTTTAAGTACTATTCTATATATGATATTAATATATATTATTATTAATATATATATTATTATACGCTATATTAGAGTATTATCTACGCGACTAATTTTATTAAATCGTTTAATTTTATAGTCAAATTTAAGTTAGCGTTAATACTCGTTATTATAGAACCTTATTATCGCAACGTCGATTATTAGAACTTTTCTTTTTCGTATATATTACTGCTAAACTAATAGAACTAATAAAAAAGATTAAGATAGTTACTGAACCGGCGGAATTTAGACGAATTCTAATTAGATTTACTAATTCGGCGGATTTTATAATTTCCGCGATATACGCGCGATTAGCAATTTCAAATTTTATAGAAACTTTTTAGATTTATAGATGTAATTAGTAGTATAAATCTTATAATATCTTCTATCGTAGTAAAATCTTTCGAATAATGAAATAGCTATAGATATTAAACGATTTTAATTCGTTTAAATATATATTATTCGATATTTCTTCTATAGAGATCTAATTAACTATAATCGTTATAGTAGATTCTTCTCTTATAACGTTATTATAGTAATATATTATATTAATATAATAGAAATAATAAATTAAGTTATAGTAATATTCTTCGCTTACTAAGTAATAATTTAATATAAAATCGTAAAGAGTATATAACGTGAGATCTTAAAGAGTTAAGTTATATTCTTAACGATAATAGTCTTATTATCGCTTAATTTCTTCGTAATATTCTTCGTAGTATTCTCCGTAATATTCTTCGTATTTATCTATTATAATTTCTTCTCTTACGATATTATTAATATAGTAAGAATAATAAGTTAAATTATAATAATATTCTTCGCTTACTAAGTAATAATTTAATATAGAATTATAGAGAGTATATAACGTAAGATCTTAAAGAGCTAAGTCGTATTCTTAGTATTAAGAGTCTTATTATCGCTTAATTTCTTCGTAGTATTCTTCGTATTCGTCTACTATAATAACTTCTCTTATACTAGCTAAGTAAATTAGTATAAGATTATAAAGAGTAGGTTTATTATATTACTACTACTAATAACTATCTCCGTAATATTCTTCGTAGTATTCTTCGTATTCGTCTATTATAGATCCTTCTCTTATTTAACTAAGTGCGAGAGTATCGACGATAAATATATTTATATTAGTAAAATTAATAGAATTAATAGAATTAATAGAATTAATAGAATTAATAGAATTAATAGAATTAATAGAATTAATAGAATTAATAGAATTAATAGAATTAATAGAATTAATAGAATTAATAGAATTAATAGAATTAATAGAATTAATAGAATTAATAGAATTAATAGAATTAATAGAATAGTTATATAAATAGATAGAAGAATTATTATTCGATTTCGAACGCGTTTAATATAACTATAATAATTAAATATTAATTTAATCTATTAATAGTAGATTAAACTTTATAATTTTTATAGCGTTAGAAAGCGTAAAGCGAGCTCTATAATTTAAGAAATTATAAAGAAATAGTATATATCGTAAGCTGAGTACTTTAAAGTATAAAATTTCTATATATAAATTTTTAATAAGAAGACGTAAAAGGGCTTAAAAAGGGCTATCGAACTAACTTAGCCGGTCTAATTAAAGGGCGTAGCGAATCTAAATTTATAATTAACTATATATATAAATTTAAGATTTTTAAGCTTAGCTCTATCTTATTTTATTATATATATTAATAATAATAGTTATAATAGTAATAGTTATAATAGTAATAGTTATAATAGTAATAGTTATAA